TTGACTTTGAGTAACATCAAGGTTCCTCGCAGGTAATTGCTTCCACCTTGGGCTGAGACTGAAGCTTCTGAAAGACAAACTCATTGAGAGAAGTCAATACAAGAATTCCACTGCCTAGCCTCAACAATAGTTTTAAATGACACTCTGTGATGCTGTGACTTGACATTAAATCAGGAGGCTTGGAGGCTTAGCCCCTCCAAGAAACTGCAGTTCAGTGGGGCAATTGAAGGAGCACTTTAGGTTTTCAAAGTTCAAAGAAATTGAAATATATAACCCACTGTAGGATTCCTTGCACTCAATTCAATTCAGCTCATTACTAAGCAGAGTGTAAGTTGTTTGAACTGAAACAGTATTGTTGTTGCAAGTTTGGATTTGTACCTTGGAGAACTTGTAAACATAGTCCAGGTAGGTAGGTAGATAGGTAGATAGGTAGGTAGAAAGGTAGATAGATAGAGAGAGGGGGAGAGAGAGAGCATTATTCTTCCCAAAGGGAAATTGCTGCAGGAAATTGGAGAGTAAGAAAAGCTTGTGTTTCTACGCACGTAGAAACAACAAGTTTTAATCATCTGCTTTTAGAATGACCTAATATACGAGCTGGTCACCTTGTTAACTCATAATCCCTCTATTGGCTGCTTTTTCTTCAGTGGTGCGCTATTAAGCAAAACAGCGATGATAATTATTCATCAAGATTAGTTGAGGGTGTGTGGTGTTGAATTGTTTGGCATGTACAACACTGCATGTTTTATATCTTGTGTTGTGGTTTTTGAGTTGATTTAATGATCTCTGTTAATGTTTGAAAAAGATCAGAAGTAACTGTGACTTAAAACAGCATTTATTATTTTATTTTAATTTATTTTATTTTATTTTTTTGTTGCCCACTCAGGAACAGCAAAACAAGCTGTAAACACAAGATTGACATATTATCACCTTATAAAATTGTTAGGTATTAGGAAACAGTTGCCTATTTATACATCTAGCACACACGGACTAGCATAAACATTTATTTTGTGTTTGTGGTGTTGAATCCTGAGGGAAATATCCAAATGCTCCACAATGTTCTCCGGCTAGTTGCTAACTTTGTCTCTCTGTCGTTTAGTGCTGGACAGGTAGTGAACACTGGGTTTATCAGAGCTTGTTTGCTAAAAAAGAAATCCCAGAGCAGTAAGACTGAACCAAAACAATCAAGTTCAGTGCCGTAAAGCAAATCAATGAAGGATCTAAAGTGATCTGTAAAGTTGAAGGATATTGCAGAGTTGGATGATAATTCTCTGTGGGTTTGTTACTTTGAGTGAGCTCTTCACAGTAGACAAAGTCATTTGGTGCATCGTCGATATAAAAATATTGATTAATGCAGCTTTAAACTGATGGAATATTAAGTTGTTCTTTAGTTCATAGAACAGTCCATGTACTTTTTTAGATTTCCACTTATGTAAGCTCTCCTAAATCTTTATGTAGCTGTCAAATCATCTACTTTGAGTGTTAAAGATGAAATAAATTAGGTTGTCTCTTATGTAAGCCAGTGCTTAGTTATGTTCAAAGTACATAGGATTCTTTCTGTCTGTCTGAGACAGCCTCTCCTGGCCGATGCGATGCCTGTGAGACGTGGCTGTTTTCCACGCTCTTGCAGCCCAGCCCACCATAGCTCCAGCTCTCTCTTCACTACCTCTGAAGTTCTCTTCTGGGGAGTATTTAAAAGGCAACCCCCATCCCCACCCTTGTTCAGCCTGAGTGTTTTACCCCCTCCTCATTCTGTTTCTCTCTCTCTCCCTTTTAATGCCAGTTTTCATTCTTAAACTCCCTCTCCTCCTTTCGTTCCCTTTTTTCTTTTTCTTTTTTTTTTACAAGGTCCCTGCAGGCCTTTCCTTTGGCCTGGCTCCAGGACAGTTGCTAAGTAAATCACTCAGTCAGCAGGGGTGGTAAGAAAGCAAAGAATTCCACACAATCCTGAGCCTTTCATGCCTGCTCTTCCCTTTCTGTCTCTCCTGCTTCTGATTCCTTCACTCTTTCCCTGTCTGTGCAGCTCACCTTCTCATGTATTTTACCTTGAGTAAAAAGAGAGCAGCAAAGCTTGAAAGGATAGACTGGGCCCTTTTGAAGTGAAGGATAGGAGAAACATTTTGCGAGATTGCCCCTGTGCGCACGCGTATGCATGAGATGGGAGGTGGGGGTCTGTCAGCCATGTGTTGGTCTGTCTGCTTTGTAGCGGCTGAAAGAAATGCTATTTGATCCACGTTTTCCACCCAGTCTCTATTGTTGAAAAAAAAAAAAAAAACAACCAAGGGAATCCAATCCAGAAAGACTTGTGCCCCATTAAACTTTTTCTGCCTGCTTTTGACTAATGCAGATTTTTGCCCAGACTCATTATACCCCCAAAATAATTACTGGTGAAGCTAATTCTTGCCCGCTCATGCATGGAGTAATTGGTGTGTAAAAGGAAAAAAAGAGTGAGGAGTGGGCTTCTAAATATAGAACCGTAGTCTCAACTTTGTTTGCAGCTAGAACTGCTTGGTTCTGTCAGTTGTAGCCCCCCCCCCCCCCCCTCCCCCTCTATTCTGGGGCATAACTTCCCCATGTGGGATCATTTAAAGATCTCTTGGGTCGTCCCATGATGGTGCGCAGGAAAGGAGGGAGGGGTGAAATCAACATTAACCTCTACTTTTCCGCAGGTGGTGATGGCCCCACATGAACCGCCAGTGGTGTTTGTTGATAACTACATCAAGCTCCTGGCTGATGGCAATCCTGAGACCTTCCAGAAGATTCTGGACATGAAGGTCAGATGGTTTCACCAATAATTTAAAGGAGTAGTTCAAAATTTTGAGAAATACGCTTATTTGCTTTCCTGCTGGGAGTTAGAAGAGAAGATCCCACTCTTATATCTGTATATTCAGAATGAACACTGATTTACACAAACAAGATTGAGCATCTTAATTAGTGAGCTTTAGCGATGCTGGTATGTGTATGTGGGTACCTTTGGGCAGAGCCAAACTAGCTGTTTCCCTCAGCTTCCAGTCTTTATGCCAATCAAAGCTAACAAGCTGAAGGTTCACACTGAACATACAGATACAAGAGTAGTATCGATCTTCTCATCTAACTAATGGCAAGAAAGCAAATAAGCGTATTTCCCAAAATGTCAAACTATTGCTTTAACATTGTGACTTTGCATCTTCTCTCATTTTGCCTCTGTGAGCTCATCTGTTCTCAGGTTTTCCCATAAAGAGATGTTGTTTTTTATACTTTGTGATTTCCCCCGTGTTGGTGTGTACTTGGGTGTGTAGGGTCTGAAGCGCAGTGAACAAAGCAGCATGCTGGAGCTCTTCAGGCAGAGGCTACCCACTCCACCCTCAGGGGCTGACGGCGGGCCCTCTTTGTCCTTCAGTGCCCCCACCCCTGAGCAGGAATCCTCCCGCATCCGTAAACTAGAGAAACTCATCAAGAAGAGACTGTGAACAGACACACACTGAAATCACATCTTGAAAATGAAAGAGGCTGCAGGATGAGAACATCCTCAGTTCTCTTGCAGTTATTCATCTCAAGGACTTCATACTCCATTCAGTCATCGTGGAGAATTACTGAAAGAGCAAAAAGTTGACTGAATTTTCTGACTGACAGTAATGTGAACCCAAGCTGTCGCTCGATTATGAAGAAACGTCTTCTACTGCTACTTGATGTTGCTACATATGTCATTTACTTCTGTAATTTCCCACATTTGTCTTCATGACACTAATGTCTGAGCGTTGTAACATTAGTACATTGTTGCACAGTGTATTTGCACTCACACGACAGAATGAAGTGCTGTTAACTAAATTCTGCTCAGAGAGCCACTGGCTGCCTCTCTGGGACATGTCTAATCCAGGATGATCGTAGGCAGGCTGATTTTAATTAAAGTTGATGTTTGAATATAATGTACTTCACGGGTAACCATGGCTTTCCTCAATTATTTTAATTTAAAGTTGGAGATACCGGGTTGAAATTTGTGTGCATCTCTGCCATCCATTAAAGTGGATATGCGTCATAGGTGTCAGGATTGTTTGTGTGGACGGTGACCTAAAACAATTCACTGACGAGGCTTCCCCCAGCCAGGGACAAAGAGGATCTTTGGATTTCCTGCAACTTCAGTGAGACATGAGGCCATCTTTTATCTTGGCATTTAAAATCTCTTGGAAAAACGTTAACACTAACTGCAGTCTTTTAACTTGGGCCTCTGACTAGAAGATGGTGGGGGGGGGGGTCAGCCACAACATTAAAAACACCACTTTTAATGTTGTCGCTGATCGGTGTACATTGTCCATATAAACACTTAAAATTTAACCCTCTGTCTCATTTGCACTGACATAAAAGCAAGTGTCCATTTATCCATCCATTCAACCACACTCTACTTGCAGGCCGAATTTCAAACTCCACAGTTTGGTAAAGAATATTTTTAGTCATAAAAATGTACTGAGACAGAACAAGATGGCTTTGTCTCAACACTTTGCCAAGTGCCCTCTGGGTCTCTGAAGCTGCTCCCTCTTGTGTCCTCTGTGATGTCAAATTCAGAACATCACAGCCTCTGGAAGAGAAACTAAACCTATTTGCAGTCTGTTCCCTGGTCATGGTTGCTGAATTTCATGTCAGTGCCTCTCAGCTTCTCAAGTCCTTGTAGATCAAATACATGTTAATGCATTAGTGTAGACATTCCTGCCTTCAGGTACAAAATGTTTGTATTGTGTGAACTGTGTGCTACACAGGCAGTTGTTGAGCACTATTAAAACATTGCCACAGATTTTCCCTTGTGCTTCATCAGATGGGTGTATAATGCTTCAGTTGGCACATTTTTGCACAATAGCAGGAAAAAAAATATCAACCTGATTTTACCAAGGCCCGATGTTGAATGAGCTGCTTTGGAAGTGTTCCCATGGCTGGCTTCGTCTCTGGTTGCCGCTTATCCTTCATCCAATCAGCAGCCAGTAAAAGCTTCAAAAGGCGTTTCCTTTCCTGTGTTTGTGGATGTGAAGGCCCCTTTCAGGGAGAAGAAGTTTGAAGAGGAGCCGCGGGCAGCGGGACTCACTCGCATCCTTTCTCTGCTTATTACAGAAGTCAACATACTCTGCGTCTCATCTTGTCACTGCGGAACCGGGCTATGCTTTTAATATCAATCTAAAGAATAGTTTTTACTTTTCCTGTTTTCAAGGTGGTTGAAGGTCGGGGAGCTGAATTACCGGTTACCCGGTTGATGGTATTTCCAGCGGGCACCCGTGCATGCTGTCCGGGAAGAAGTTGACAGTATCACCGTGGGACTTTGCAACAAAATAAAACCCCTGGACGGACAAAAAAAAAGCGAACACAAGGAAGTCAAATCTGGAAATATTTCCCTTTCGCAACCTGCGTCTTACTCGCTGGAGTTTTGCAACTTTTAACTAGAAATGGTTGGCAGGTTGAACTTGCCAAATGTATGTGAAGGAGACCCACTGGATATGAGCTGCAGGGCTGAAAGAGGACTTGACAGCCCGGACTCTGGGTTACCCCCGAGCCCGAGCCCCAGCGCCTGGCTGCTGCCTGTGTGTGCGGATAAAGCCGGGGGCGTGAGCCCGGTGTCTGAGGACGAGGGAAGGGGCTCCCTGGTAGGTAGCACTATTTTTCTCACTACGTCCTGTGATTTTTAAAGCAATATGTGGACTCTTTGTAGCAAGGCAATCGAACTCAAACTGCAGCTGAACATTCCCTTTGAATGCCAGGACATTTCATAACTTGCAATTTGATATGGAAAACTAGGCATACTGCTAGGAATGTGCATGCATGAGAGTCAGATAGTTTCCACAAATGCATAGCAAAGTAAATGTTATAGTATAGTTCATCCTAAAAATTCCAGATTGTCTTGCATTGGAATAAATCTTGCATACAGGAAATTTGCCCTGAAATTAGTTGCAGTCTGCCAAACACACCATACCCACTGTTTTGCTGACTCTATGAGCCAGTTTTTGAGTTAAATAAACCAAATGTTTGTGAAAGTTCTTTGACAATAACACTTTAGACTATCCTGCAAGACCTTGCTGCATGTTTTGGCAAGCTGAAGAAAGTGGGTCACTACAGCACTGAACTGGGTCAATAAGAACTCAATAGTAATGGCTACGTATGAGATAACTGAGTGGTTGATTTTTGCACTGCAGGTTCCAGTTTTACCCACCGGATCTTTGCCACAGCTACACCCACTGTCCTTTGGGGAAGGCATAGCACTAGATCCATTGCCGCCAAAGGAAATAAGGTGGGTTGACTTTGATATGACCTGTTCTGTGCAACATGAGACCCGCTGGAAGAGTGTGGCTATGCATGTCAGTCAAAAAATGGCAGACCATGAGGACACGCAGGCTTTAGTATTTTTACTTTAATATGTACCAAAGCGGCCGACAACTTCCAAGTATGTACATAGGCAAACAACAGAACGGTGAACTTGGACAGACAGCTCGGTGTAGTGTAATGTAACTTGTGCAGGTGGGACTCAGACTATTTTCATTTCAAAACATTACACTTTCCCCTTCTCCACAGATACACCTCCTCTGTGCACTACAACTCGGACCGCCACTTCATCCAGGACGTGGCCCTGCAGCCATGGGGCCAGGGCCTTGAACACTGCAGGCAGACTATCATGGCCGTGCCCCACAGCACTTGGCGCCGCTACAAAACACAGCTGGAGTTTCAGCCTCGCCATCGGCCGCAGCGCTTCAAGAGCACCACCATCATTTACCCCAAGAAAACCAGCGCTGTTTACACCACAGAGCTGAGCTACGACTGCCACCGGCTATCCAGACGCTTCCTGTCCAGTGTCGAGCTGGAGGCAGCTGGCCACAGAAAGCTGTCTCAGTGAGGAGGGGTGGCCAGGTGGTTGGGGACACACAAAGGCATTTAGGGGCATTCCTATGGCCCCTAAACTGTGGCTCCCCTGAGGCTGGATGCCGTTGACCTGCTGTGTTGTCCTCTTAGAGTTGTGTAGCCTGTTATCCTTTTTTAAGTATCTATCCCAAGCTGTGGACAGAAATCATCTGCACTGTGATGTTGCAGACAGCTGAGATGTTGTATGTATGATATGTGTGTGTCCCTGGCAATGAAAGAAACTATCCATGGCATGGATATTTAACCAAGCGCTTGAGTTTGTAACTTGTTGAAAGTTTTCAAAGGGATGATTATTTTTATTGGCTGTAGAACTGAATTAGATGGGCCAAGATGAGGAGAATACTTATTTGCCCTCAGCAAAGTCACTCTCCTCATAGCACACCAAGTTGGTCAGGCATGTGGAGTGATTGGTTTTAAAGTTGAACAATGAGGCCTGTCTCAGCTCATTGAATATGAAGAGCACCTGTTAGAACTGCTAACCTAGGATATGGTTCAAAGCGACTAGTTTGTAAGGCAGAGGAAAGGCAAATAAAGGTGGTGCTGGAGTTTGGGTGCATGCTATTGAATCATAACTTATCCACACTGTACATAGGATGTGGTGAAAAATGCTTAACACGTGTTTTGTTTCTTCACAGGGTATTTCTGCACAACATAGCACAAGCTAAGCTCAAACCAAGCCTTTTCTCTAGCCACTGTTTATGGCTGCAACTCATAATGTATTGTGTAAATGTTGGTAGATAAAGGGAACTTTTCTGTTCATTGTGATGTGTAAGCTTAAACTGATTTTAAGTAGGTAGTGTAGATGGATTGTGAGCGTGGAGTTTACTGTGGATTGGATTTTTTGATATCACTCACTGGCTTTCTAGTGAAAATAACAAGCTGCATTCCACTGCTATCACTTTCTTTGGCCTGACTTGGATTGATATCGTATTTATTCTGTTGAAGTTTTAGGATCTGAGATTTTATCAGCTCATTAACGGGTCTCTGCAGTCATGGTAAGGGATGTAATTGTGATGCTCTTTGTGCCTTATTGATGTATCTGTTTGATGCTTCTTTTTGATATTAGTCACTTATTCAGTGCCAGTTTGAAATAAAGTGTTCATTTGTTCTTCAACTGTGTTTTTGAGGAAGTATCGCTTGTCCTTTTTTTAAAAGATAACAGCAGAGTTCTCTTTTTGTTATTTGGTCTTACTAAATAATAAACACACTAACAAACTTTGAACACAGGAAAGGCATGTACAAATTCTTAAAATGGGTGATCAAGAGAGATGATTTTCCACAGGAAAAATGGGAACTTCCTACAGGTGCTTTGGCCAAAAAAAGCTTTTCACACTCTTCAACTGATATATTCAAACCTCATCAAATCACCAAAACATCCTTAATAGATGGTTGTGCTACCAATCTGTTCTGGTAGGAAAATGATACAGACTTCGATTTTGGGTGAATTGTCCCTTTAAGACTCAACAAATGGAGAGAGGCTTTATATAATTGTGCTGCTTCACTGCCCTCTTCTGGCCTGGGAGGGAACATTCTGTCAACGATTTGATTCCAGAGCAAGGTTGATCCTATGCTCCAAATCCTATTTTCAACAAAACAGATCTTAATTTTGATAAGATTTTGTGTTGCTGTGTGGTGGTACACAGTGGATGGTTAAGATGATGCCACACATAGTCACTATATAGTATACTTAGAGTAGGTCACATTACAAATGCAGCCCAGGTTCTCAGAAAAAAAGTGTCATCTGGGAAAACTGTTCTAGTTGTCACTGTAAATGATTATGATGACAAACAGACATAGAAGACTTTTCTGATACAAGCCAGAAGTTTGTCACTTTTCTTAATCCCACAAATAACACATTGAATATTACATCCAACTCATAATACATCCACTATTCTTCTGATTGGCTGTAGGGTGTGTAGGGGGACTGTAGCATTAGTTCTTCTTCCATTAGTTCAATGTTTCTTGAACATTTGTGTGCTAGAGGGAGTTTCCTGACGTGATGAGAGCTGAGGAGCAACCTCCTTCACCATTGCCTCAGTATATTTCACTTTTTGTCCTTTCAACACACATAAAGTTACCCATGGCTTGGGCTTGTCCTATTGGTATTGCAACCCCACAGCATTGTACCGATGGAGCTACTTTTCACAACCAGCTAAGTATTGAACTTATTTAGTTAGAAAAGACAGCTTAGTATTGAAGATAAACGTACTTTGCATTATCTTGCCTTCTATCGTATTACAGTTATCATGCATGTACAGTATGCATCTGCATACCTCACCACATATTTTCAAACCAGCACTGCCCTTTTTGAGAACATTGTAATTGCCCCTACATGTGAATAATGACCACCTCTTCAGCAAGTTATTCTAATTCCACAAACTGAATGCAGTCATGAGCTTTAGTGATTTTAAAGCTCGAAAACTATTTTTCCCTACAGAACCTGAAGGCGGCATTGCGTGAATGGATGTGACGTAATGAATCACCTAGAAATCGTCAATATTCTTTTAATAGAAAAGAAAAACAAATAAACTTTGCCTAACGACCTAAACTAGATACATTAGAGGGGGTGTTTATAATTTAAAAAAATAATACAATGAAATACTTAAACACATACATTAGGTTATGTGACGTATGGGTCCAGAGATTTTAAATACACGCCCACATTTTTCCCGCATGGTGGACTGAAGCGTCGTCCCGTATTGTTGTTCTGAAATAAACCTAGCTGTATCTATGTATCAGCATGTGATAGTGTGGGGTTTTAGGTTGTATTGTCAGTTTGTCCGCGTCTTTAAAATAGTGAAATAGGTGTCAGACGACAGAAACCACTCTTAAACTCTACTCTACTTTTGGATATTGAGCTAGTTAGCTTGTTGTGCTAGCTGGCTAGCAGTCTTATTTGAGAAGAATGAAGACATGTAACGGGAACTCCAGTATTGTGGACATGTTTGAAAAGGGAAAAGTCCTGAAAATATGTGCCCCAATGGTTCGATATTCAAAGTAAATGGAATCTATTTTCCTCCTGCAATTGTATTCATATCTTTATTTTTGCTGTATTGAACCACAATCAAGGGGTAGAAAAAGCACTTCTGATACTTCACTTTAAACACTTGTACTCAAGTGTTTCATTGAGTCCTTTGAATTGCTGTCTTAAACATGGGAAGTACTATAGGTTCTACAAATTTCCCCACTGCGGGACTAAAAAAGTACTATCTTATCTTACAGCCACCATTTGTTTTGTTTCTTGCACACGATGTTCAATGAAGTCTATTTTCTATAGGCTTGCGTTCAGGTCCTTGGTGAGGAAGTACAACTGTGACATCTGCTTCACCCCAATGATAGTTGCTGCTGACTTCATGCGATCCGTCAAAGCCAGAGACAGTGAATTCACTACCAATGAGCGTGAGTAGCAACATTGTAATACATGTCAGAATAGTGTCCTTCCTGCAGCATCACTTTTAATGCATTACATCTTTACACAGAGATGTCAATTTTTTTCCCGTTCCTCTTCAGGTGACCGGCCCCTGATAGTGCAGTTTGCTGCCCATGATGCTCAGACCCTGGCTGATGCAGCCTGTGTGGTAGCACCTTTCTCGGATGGAGTTGACCTTAACTGTGGCTGTCCCCAGAGGTGCAACTACTGACAATAGGCCTTGATACATTTTGGCCTTCAGTCACTTTTTATTACTTTGTGATTTCAGCATTTTTATTTTGCAGGGGATGAAAAGAGCACAGTTTGTTTGACTGATTAATTACTAATGTCAAATTGTATTTTCTGATTTCCTCTCTATTATTTGAACACTAATTAAGTGTTACTGAGATAGTTGGACAGATTTGTTTTTTTTAAGTTCTTAAGATAAGTTTAAGTTAAGATAACTTTGTTGTGTTTTCAGATGGGCTATGTCAGCCGGGTATGGTGCATGCCTCATCAACAAGCCTGAACTTGTGAAAGATATGGTCAGACATGTCAGAAACCAAGTGGACAATCCAAACTATACAGCGTCCATCAAAATAAGGTAAAAATCTGAACCAGTCTAAAATTGTAAAGCTAAATCAGTAAATCTGTGCCATCGATGGTAGCTTATTGCAGATATATCAATATCTGTATATACGTATGTAAGAGAATATAAGAAATTCATGTCACCCACAGAATTCACAAGGACCTGAGACGTACAGTGGATCTGTGTCAGAAGGCTGAATCAGCTGGTGTGTCATGGATAACGGTCCATGGCCGTACAGCAGAAGAACGTCACCAGCCCGTCCATTATGATGCCATAAAGACAATCAAAGACAGCTTATCTGTACCTGTCATTGCCAATGGGGACATAAAGTACCTCCGTGATGTGGAGTCCACTCACCAGCTTACTGGTATCGATGGTAGGTTTGTTTTGATTGTTTTCAACAGATGTTCACTATGTCATATGCATAAATAACAGTGTTCTTGTCTTGTGTTGTCTGTCTATTGTTCAGTTTGTTAATTTCTTGTTTGACTGGATTTGCTTATTAGGTGTGATGGCTGCACGGGGGTTGCTTGCCAACCCTGCAATGTTCGCTGGCTATGAGGACACTCCTTTGGAATGTATATGGGACTGGGTGGACATATCTATAGAGCAGGGTACTCCTTTCACCTGCTTCCACCATCATCTTATCTACATGCTGGAGAGGGTTAGCTCCCAGCCTGAAAGAAAAGTGTTTAATTCTCTATCCAGTACCTCAGCTGTAATAGATTACCTCCAGAACACATACGGGTCAGTGTAGGGTCAGAGTTGAAATGCAATGTACTTGATTTTAGCATTTTTTATTTTTGTGCCAAATAAAATTACAAAGCTATAGTTGTATTACTGATGTCTGTCTTCTTTACTGCTCCATTTTCTCCAGTCAAGCCTTAACTAAACAGTAATAATATAGCTAAAACAGAATATTTAATTTTTTTTAATGCTTGTCTTACTAGTATACACTGAGGCTTAAGATATTTTGCTTCCCAATGAATAGCACATTCTCAAAATCATAAGATATGAAGGAATATTAAATCTAATGATACATCTTTTTATTGAGTCCTTGCAGTAGGAAAAGAATAAAAATTACAAAAACTATTATATACTTGCACAATGATTAATTTCATGCACATCTAGCTTTTTAGAGCAGCAACGCAAGCAATGTAATAAGTGTTTTTCTTTTTATGTGTCAGTTTTTGTAGCATAAATGTACACTCAACTAGCACTTTATTACGTACACCTAGCTAAAACTAATGCAACGGTCATATAATAAAAGCTTGTCTTCAGGTTATGATGTTTTTATTAAAATTGTTTTGATCATTTAGGAGGATGCAGTTTGTGGAGCTGTTGAACTGTATAGCATTAATACGAGAGGTGTTTCTGTTGTTTGACCTACTCTCACTGATTTAATGCGGTGGACGAAATAATAGAAGCATAATAAAAAAAAAAGCAAGTACAATTACACAGCTCCACAAACTGCAGCCTCCACACCAACACCTATTAAAAACAGTTTCAACATAAACTGAACATTATGACCCATGATAGGAGGGTTTATTGCAGGCATGACGAATTAGACTGCATTAATATAGGCTAGGTGTACCTAATATACTGCAAACTGAGTGTATATAAATACTAAGTCAAGGGATATAATTACGTTACTGAATGTAAATTGTTTTTTATAATGAAGAGTTCTTCAAGGAAAAAGAGCAGAAGTATTGTGATTTGCCTTCAAAGTAAAGTCTAAATCTGTATGCTGAATCCACGTATAACGGTTGGGAGTGTACACACAAGAGTAAGAACAGACAGTGAGATTTAAGATGTTATACGCAACAATTAAAACCCAATGACGCATTTCCCGCCCATATTGATGCTTGATATGAACGTGTCAAAATTTTATTATGAAAAATAAGACCGGAAAAGAAGTCTTTCAGACGAGCTGGGTGGAACAGGAAGCGAAGCCGGAAGACGAACTTTGCTTTGGATGATTTCAGAAGAGTAGAAAAGTTGCTCTCTATCAGTCTGCATTTTTGCGGTTTATTAGTAAGTGGTATATCTTTATGTCTGAACGCTGACAACTTGGGCACCTTACCCAATTGTCATTATAAATGTGTAACTGGCTAGTTAGCTTTCTCTAAGTGGCGCACTTAAGGTTAGCGTTAGCTTGTAGTTAAAGTTTATGTGAATTTAGCATTGGGTTTATGGAGATGAAGATGATATGATATGAAGATGGAAGGGGAGACATCATTTCAAAAAGCCTTAGTGTGTGTTTTGTGTATGTGCCTCTAATAAGCATATAAACACACACTCTTATTTGTTGTCACATATTGTTCGTGGTGGCGCAGCAACTGTAAGTTGTAAGTAGGCTACCGTAATGTGAGTTTGATAGGGCTAACTTCTGGCAACTTCTCTCAGGGCTAACCTTGTGCGAGTTTACCTTAAGGTGTGTGAACTGGGTGGATAGGAAGCTTAACTTGTCACAGAGGCTGTATCGTTGTCCAAGTGGAACAAAAGCCATGCATGCTAGCTAAACCTTTTACTTATTACCCTGTAAGATTTCATGTTTGTCTTTCTCAGGTTATCTCCTGAAGCCATCAACAAAGATGACATTGCAATGGACTGCTGTGGCCCTCTTTCTCTATGTGGAGATTGGCATCCTTGTCATCCTCTGTTTACCCTTCATCTCTGCCAGGAGGTGAGTAATAGTCACTCAGAATCATACTGTGTGTGTGTGTGTGTGTGTGTGTGTGTGTGTGTGTGTGTGTCAGTTGTGGTGATCCTGCAGACGTAATGTGCTTGTATATTGTCTAGAGTAGAGACCTGTTACGTACTGATGTCTGTAAATGTTTGTGCATGTGTGGTTGCAGGTGGCAGAGTATTTTCCAGCTGAGGATCTGGAGCTTTGTGGCAAGGTTCTGGAACAAAGTGTTTCTCACCATGATCATAGTACTTATTGTTCTCTTCCTTGGTAAGTGTAACATCATCTGTTTCAATATTTTGTACACAACTCTTCAGTTAGAAATGTAACCTCAGATCGTGTGAGCTGTTGAGTTTTAGATCATCAGCTGTGAGCTGGGAGGAAGCTTTGGGGGCACTATTGGATGCTTTAAAACAGGGTTTTCTCCTATGGTCTTAACAAAAATCTCCCTACACATCAAAACGCAAAACATGCTGTCAAGTGGTTTAGAGAGCATGCCATATCAACAGGTAGCTGTAAAGTCATGCTTGCGAATCAGAAGCCTGAAATAAAGGTATCACTGGTTCCAGTAGAGAAATTATAATGATGTTACAAGCCAAAAGCTTGCGTTTCCCTGTCTCCACAACAACACTGAAAACAGAGCTTCTAAATTCTACACCCTGGCCGGAGATTTGCAGAAGGTCTGTTTTCAGTGACCCAAAAGCAAATTTGAATGTGAACAAAAGGCCTACCTGGATAGAAAAAGCTGCATTTTAAAAATTGGCAGTGCAGACAGGGCTTTAGTCACTATCATCACTGGCGATCATATTACTGTAGGCAAAATCTCAAAACAACAAAGCTCTATGAAGATGGTACACATAAGAAAAGTTGAAAATCTAAGCTTTCTAACTCATGGCATGTTCCTTTTTCTTTAGACGCTGTCCGTGAAGTGAGGAAGTATTCACAAAAAGAACTTGGCACAGATTCCAAGCTGCAGCCGAACATGTTTGACCACCTGCACATGAAGCTTTTTAGAGCCCAGAGAAACCTCTATATCTCTGGCTTTGCTGTCTTTCTCTGGCTGTGAGTCTTTGCTCTCATATACTGATACACAAAGGACAAATTAAAAAACAAATATATGTATTAATCAGTAATGAAAGTAGGTCACCTGCAGCCCTTGAATGAGGCCTTTTCTGACCTTGGTTACTTTTGCAGAGTTATGAGGCGAGTGATCACCTTGATTAACCAGCTGGCAGCCATGTCTGGGACTACAGCTGCTCTTCAGGCACAGGCTGACAACGCTAACCAGACTGCCAAGAAATACATGGAGGACAATGAGCTGCTGAAACAGGTGGGCTTCACACTGGTTGGGCCACAGCTAGATATCTCTTTGACGGCTCTAGATGACAACACACACATAGGAGATTAATGATTCAGACTTGCAGTTAGATAAAGATGTGCATTTAATTTCTTCATTTTCATTTCATTATATATTTCAGACTCTGATGGAAGGGAAGGGTGATAAGGCCACTTCAGAGGGCATGGAGCTGTTGAGAAAGGAGGTGGAGGCACTGAGAGAAGAACTTAAGACTGCAGGAGATGGTTAGTATCCACATATATACCACATATCCTCTACAAATATGTTTGTGTTGCTTTTACACACATGTGCTAGTATTATTTTTGTATTGACCCCAGGAAGTTGATATAAGAACTGTAGACTTTAAAAGGTGTCACCTCTAGTGTATGAAGATGATGCCATGTGTTGATGTGTGATTGTCTCTTCTCCAGCCCTGAAGAAGTCCGAGTCAGAGGCAGAGGGGATGAAGAAGCAGACGGAGGGCCTGGCCAGGGAGTACGACAGACTGCTGAAAGAACATCAGGAACTCCAGGTAATACTAAGTCCTAAACAGAGCAGGATAATGACCTCTTGGGCCATGCACTATTTAGATACAGTTAGTCTACTGAAAAAGTGCAGGAGCCTATATTTGTTGAGACATTGAAAACAAAGGTTGTTAATATTAGTGACTGCCAACAGTTCCCATTAATTTCAAGGATCTCAACTAAAGAATCATTTAGACAGTTGTACTTAGAGTAGATAAATGGCCTACACTAATCTAATCTAAAATAATGGAATATAATATTATCTGACATTTGCTTTTCATTTTTTGTCCTTTCAGAATCTTCAAGATAGTGGAAGCAAAAAGGATGACTAGTTAGTGTAAAATGTTTAAAAGTTAAAGTGTTTACACATCAACTCACAAGAGAGCCACTCCAACACATGCTTTGCCCTCATATATCACCTTGTGTCAACATACATATCACAAAATCACAGTTGGCTCCTCAGAAGTACAGAGTTTTGGCTGATATCAGTAACAGTTCTAAAGCGTGGAGGTGAACCAAACTGGTTTAAATTGGATGAGTAATATTTTGTGTTTCCCTGTTTCTGCCTGGCACAGTGTGACTAAGAGGATTGCTTTTTTTTTTTAAGTTCACACTCTATCAGGCAGATTAACTGTGCAAGGTATTTGGAAAGAATTCAGTCAGTAATTGACCCAGGTCTGATCACAGAGCACTTGATATGTTAAAGAAATTTTCAACTAGGATGGGTGTTTGTTTTATGGTATTTGTCTCAGCCCGGTGCACCAAGTGGAAGATTTGCGAAAAGCTAGTGCACTCTGTTGCTGTGGCAAACAGCTATGAATGTATTTTGATACTAAAGATTTACTTTAGCAGGGACATGTGTTCTTCACACTTGCAGCTTAAATACAGTATGTAAATGTAGCCTGTGCTTGCATGGCTGTGCAAATACAGTTTGCATGTACATTTGCACTTAGACAAATCATCTTCATGTTTTCCAGCTGCTGTTCTGTACTGTTCTGTTTTAACAGTAGTAGTTGTGGTGAATGTTAATGGTTGGACAGCATCAGGCATCCAAGTGTTTTTTTTTTCTGGTTTCCTTCTTAATTTTAACATGTAAATGTCAATGAAAATCTTCCGTAAAATATCAAATATAAGTAAAACATAGGGATGAAAAAATTTTGAGCTTACTTAGGCTTTTAATAACAGATTCTTGTTAATGGCCACAGAAGTCCACATTCTTTTATACGTGCTGCACTGCGTGTTTATTTTTCTGGTTAGCGCACCAGTTGCACTGGCAGCTGTTCTGTATGAAAAAGTGCAGTATGGTTTTTCTTATATTTCCGTTATCCAGACAAAGCGATGTCACTGTGAAAGAGAAGCTGAGACTATAATCACCAGTTAGTTCAATGTTTCCCACTTCTTCGTGCTAAAGCGGTTCTTGCATGGGTTTACCACATTTACTGTTCAGGTCATAAAACTGCAAGAATGCCTCTTCAAGTTGTTTTCATGTATTTCTGTCAGACAGAAATTAGAATGAAGTGCCTTGTGGTTGGATGCAGTACATGTTGTTTAATAAAGATCTGTTTCTTTATTCTTGGCCTTGTTTACAGTGTTTAAACTTGCACTTAATGAAGCACCTTGAATAAATAACACCAACACATCATTTGATTGGATATTAAAAGTTTTATTTTAGTATTACATTTACGATATTCTTTGAAATTTTACAAAAATAATCCAAGAAAATTATTTACATTCTGATTAATGCAAGTAAATGCCTTACATTATTGAGATAATGACTTCCTTCCTCTATACCTCTCGTTGCTCCTCTGAATCTGTACTTGTGGCCACCTGTGCCTGAAACTGAACCTGAATTCAAAAGACAATACAGTCAGCACATATTGTACGTTGGCAAAAAGAAATGGTACATATCCATTTTGGACATAAAATCTTACAAAATGATAATATACATTTACAAAGACAAAAGTATTATTTCTAAACAATTGTCTTGAGATACAGCAGCTAGTGGACTGATTTCACTTTGAGAAATCATTGTGTCAGATTTCATGGAAATGGGTTGTGATTTTGGATCGAAGCTGTTTAAGAATAAAATTGATAGGAAAAACCTGAGAATAGACCATGATGTTTCTGTTTGTGGGTTTTGGCACAGTAGTTCATGCATGAACAAAAATACACAGAAAAACTAATGATGTAAAAACAGACTGACCAGTCAAACATTTAGTATAGCGATGGCTGAAGACGCAGAAGCAGAGCTTTTACACATCAGCGACACAAATGCACACTTTTTGTGGTAACACTTGACACACAGTGGAGTCGTTTGCCTAAAGACTGGGACAGCATACATTATTATCGTTTCTCAGTGTTTAAAACAGTAGAAATTCTGCCTCTTCAAAAGGCACAACACATGGCAACCACCAGACACAAGGGCAAGCTTTCACCTCAGCCATCTGTTTCAGACAACAATGGTTATTTAATAATAGAGCCTTATGAGGCTCTTTAAGATTACTCTGAGCAAATTCGGTCTAATCCTAATTATCAGTGTTAACAAGTTTAGTTGACTGTATTCTTAGTAAAACTTCTTTCCTCAGTATTACCATATTAAGATGATGGTACTGCCTCCTTGTGGCCGTCAACGATATTGAAATCAAGGCAGATTCCATTACACAAACAGGTAAGCAGATCTCACTAAAATTCAATTTCCATTTTTTAGGGAATACGAAAAACAAAAGAACGAGTTCACATCCAGAAAGCGCACAACACAAACTGCAACAGACCTAACTTTGGCCTTAGAGTCAGTCAGAAATGAAACTTTTTTCCCAAACAACTGTAAAGTCATTCAGTCTGAAATGTAAAAGGAAATGGTATTCAGATGTCTGTTGAATGTGTGACTGAAAATTGCTCTCTACAATCAGCAAGACAGATGATTTAGAGGTAACCATTGAGTGAATGAGGCACAGACGTCAAAACGACTCCAACAAAGCCTTCTAAAAGTTACTGAAACATGTTCAAACACATTTCTACAACAACCTCCTCATCTTTTGTAAAAAAAAAAAAAAAAAAAAAAAAAAAAAAATCCATCTCTTTGAAGGCCTAATTTTCCTCATATTTATATTTCATTCTTTAAATTTAGTGTCATGCCTCTGGTTTTTATAAGGCCACTTTTCTTCTGTTCAGTAACACTGGTGATTAGGAAGAAAACTTCATTTGAAAGAAAACTCCAGAGAGGCAGCTTTATAAGTGCTGGTGTTCAGAATGACTGTTTTTGCAGTAGTCTGTACAAGTCACATTTCCCATCTAATCTCTTGTGCCACCATTAAAACAGAAAAATATTCTTTTCTTTATAAGGAAAAAATAACAGCATGTACATTCAAGAAATATTTCAGTTATATCAAATTTCTGTCAAATTCACAAAGCCCTCACAGGTCCAGTAGTACAAATATAGAATTTATGCTTCATATGAGATAATCGGATACAACGTGCGATTCCCTGCAAATCATGTGAGTGTGTGCGCATTGTGTACAGTATCACTCTGTACATACTGTGTGTGTGTGTGTGTGTGTGGGGTTGTATTTGTTCATCTGTGGTGTGTGTGTGTGTGTATGTGTGTGTGTGTGTGAGAGAGAGAGAGCGGGGCAAACAGGGTCACTTCTTTTGGATCTGTCACAGCCGCGTCTCCCGGTCTGTGCTGTTATCTGATGTTTGATGTAGTTGGTCACAATTAGAAATCACAAACTCTTCCTTCCTGAGTGCCTCCAGCTCTGTTCCGCCGTTGGCCAGAGCTCCATGAATGGCATTTCTTTCCTCCTTCTTCAGCTGTCGACTGAGCAGAATGAAGCCCGGGATGCAAATAATGAACGAAATAGTCCGCAGGCTCAGAGTCAGGCCCAGGTATGCGATCCTGTGATGCAAGGGCGTAAAAAAAAAAATGTGGGGGTCAGAGAGGAAGACAAGTTCTGGACAAATGGGGGAGGGGCAGATGATGCTGCAGTGGCTTTGTCACTCAAAAGATGGCTAAACCTAAAACCCAACCATGTCAGAGAACAGTAAATAATGACTGGTTTATTAAATAATTTAACAATTTATATATGCTGCTTTTTAGTTGGCTACATCTTGAGCCTGTTTTCTTTAAGCCTATATCTCTTTACATTTTAGCAACATGGCATCTTTAAAGAATGCCACATCATACATTAGGAGTTCCTCTTTTTTCCTGTATTGTACACACGGATGTACAGACAACACTAGGTGACTTTGATACCGAAGAAAACTTAAAAACACGATGATTATCAGTCAGCTTCTGGAGGTATAAGGAGCGTCCTTTTTCTGTGATTTCTAAGTGGCTTTTGGACGTTTATAAAAGAAATCTGATAAACAGAGTTGTGACTCAGAGAAGGTTTTCGACTTTTAAGCAAATTGCAGCAACCGGTAAGGGTTTTAAAGTACCTCGACTGCCCTCATGAGCTGTATGTCACAGCCTCGGCTGCTGTCCCCTGGGGGACATGCCTCGTTTGAAAACCTCTGCCTGCAGTATATTAATGTTAACACTTTGAGGAAGCCTTCAGCTGAGGTTAGGTAAATCACCTTTGCTAACAGGACAAAAGATGAATCATATTAGCGTGACTGCCAATGAAGGACATTTGAAAGACATAAAATGAAGTTTAGCAAGTTTTTGTGAAGTGTTTATGGTATATCATTTATTCGTTGTATCCAATATAACAGATCTAGAGAGAAGTGTCAAAATTAAGCAACATGCAAATTTGTTTCAAATTTCACATTGTATAACATTTCGTACACACAACAAGTCATTGCCACATGAAATTCAAACCTATAACATAAAAGTGCAGTAGACCTGAAGTTAACTGAATCTTATGAATCCCTAAAATGAAAGTAAGATCCATGAAATACTGACTGTCATGCATGTGAGTACTACCTGTATGCAGTGGTGTTATAGATTCGACAGGCTCCTATGCCTCCACACCTCTTCTGACCCCATTTTAGACATGTGGTGTCAATGATTGCTCCAAAGTAAATGGGTGCTGGGATCCCTGCTGTAGGATCACAAACATAGTTTCGCAATCACATTTTCCAGAGCTGAAACAACAGATTCTGCAAACACTGTTCAGTCAGAACAAACACTGAAACTTTAGCAAACACAGGCACTGTGGTAGTTCAAGTGACAGTTTGAAAGAACGATGGCAAAGGTCTTCAGGTAGATTCAAAACCAGGACAACACATTTATTCCTGACCCATTCAGATGTGCTTAATAGAGGTTGGGTTTTAAAGGAGACTTACCGAGGGTACGTGTTGCCAGAGCGTGGAAACCCAAGGCCAGAGATTTCAACTGTGGTTTTATGCACCTGCATGAGGAAAAAAACACATTAGGAACTGGTTAGAAAATATCAGCCATGTTTACATTATGGTGGCCCTTAAGGTCAAAACAATATATTTCGGAAAATATGACATTTCAGATTACAGAAAAGGTGGGATAACACTTCTTGTTTGCGATTGCACAGAACCCAAGTCCCTGGCGTTCAATGTCATTTCCTGTGATATTGCATGCATTTTATCTGAGTTTGAAACTAAGGGAATATTTTAACAAAGGATATTTATATGATGCAATTCTCAATATGCTTTCAACGTATCAATATATTGAAATGTCCCGTGGAACCCTGAAAGCACGCTTGACAGAATTAGCACTGAGGAGATAGGGGGGCTACTCTGCAACAAGTGACATTAGCAGGGCCATCTTCTCAGAGCTGTGTGGATCTGAACAGATGTTTGGACACAGAACTATGTGGTTGATTTTAAACAAGAACCATGGCCTCTGTGTTAAAGGGGAGATGATCATGTAAATGCTTTGTGAACTGAATTTACGCAGTACCTTACCATGCTGTCAGGCAACTGATGACACAGTGTCATCAGTTGCCTGACAGCGAGTAGCAGTGTAGAGTTTAGAGTGTCCCTCCAGCTGCTCAAGTCTAGCAACAAGTCACCTTAACACACCCACTGACATAAACTTTGAATTGACTTGGTTTCTGTCCAATCAAAACAAGTGTTGTCCTGCCCTTTCTGTAATCTGAAATCTTGTGCTGTTTCGTGAAATCTCGTTCCGTGAAATATGTTTTCTGAAATGTTTTCTGAAATTTTGCGTTTTGTCCCTGAGGGCCACCGTACTACAACACAAAATAAAAAACAGATTCAAGGTAACTTAACTCATGCTCAGAACCTCTTATTAAAACTGAGTCTTAAGTAGTAATCTCAAGTTCAGTCAAACCCATGTACCCACTATATGTAAAAAACATGATCCAAAATGTTTTGAGGTAGGAAATAGGTAGAACCTATGGACACACACGTTTTGTTAAAAAAAAATGTTGTGTAAATGCTGAGTGTAAACAGGATACTTTTACAGTTCTTGGGGCAATTCTCTGCCTAATTAGTCATCATTTCTAAACCATTTATAACATACAGCCTCTTTCTGATCTCAGAACCTTTCTGAGAATCAACAGAGGAATAAAGAGATAACTGTGCAGACATTAAATCAGACAGTACAATAAGAAAAGCAGAGCACATGAAGTAATTTCATTCTGTGAGACCATTGCATTCAAACAGGATCAGCTGATATGGCTTCTGGAAATGTGTGTGTGTGTGTGTGTGTGTGTGTGTGTGTGTGTGTGTGTGTGTGTGTGTGTGTGTGTGTGTGTGTGTGTACACATGTCATGTGTGACATTCTCTCAATAAAACCCTTTTATGTGGGAAAATTGGAACATAGAAAGAAAAACTAGGGCACACATGCCATCTTGTATCAATGGAAGGTCTCATCAGTAAGGTGTTATGTGGAGTGTCAGCCGGCAGAGGGTGCTGAGGTGCAGACAAATCTATATTTAGTTCATAATGCATTCACTTTCTTTAAAACATAGCCATTGTCAGATTGGTTGTAGCTGAGTCAACCTGCGGATCAACACTCAGTTGGCAGAAAAAGCTCCAGTATGATTGTTTCTACAGGGAGCCACAAAAGAGCTAAGACTGAATTGTTCAAAGCAGAACGTGTGTCGAGAAAATATGATGCATTTCAGAGCAACTGTGCTGCGTGTGTGCGCCTGAATGAGTTGTGCAAGTGGACATTTTTTACAGTGGAAGAATTCCTGTCTCTACATCTGCTTCCCTGCGCTGCTCTCTCTCTCTCTCTCTCTCTCTCTCTCCCTCTCTCTCTCTCTCTCTCTCTGTCTCATACAGTTTTCCAGGAGGACTAGTCCTTGTCAGACTACACACACACACACACACACACACACACACACACACACACATCCCAAGCCTCTAGTCCATGAAGTGAACTCTCTGCTTAATCGTCTGAAATTCATTTTCAGCTTCAGCAAGCAAGTTTAACCTTCATGTGAGATAATTCAGCTAATTAACCAGACAGAAGTGCTTCAAACTACAGTCACATGGATTACTAGACTCGTATTTACTATTACGGCTCTATTAGACAATGTTCCCTTTGAGAAAAGAATGTTATTGATGAGTAACATTATATAATTTAATTATAATCACAACACAGAGCAGCCACTCTCTGGTCGGCTAGCAAAAATGTTCCTCCATCAGTTGTTGATTATCCATGTCTCAGAGTTTTCGAAGCTTCAGCACTGACCTACATACGATATATCACACATGCAAATAGTTACATCTCTTTCATATTAATCTGGCAGTTACTTTCACTTGGCCCTTTACCAGTGCAAGTAGAGGAGATTAACCGATTGTCCCTTGAGAAAAATGAGTGGGAAAGATGCCGCACCAACTGTCACATCCCATTTCATTAGAATAAATTAATGAAGGATGAGTTTGCTGATTCAACACCAGCCATCATTTATTTTCATTCATGATACATCGCTGATTCAGTTTTGGAAAATTCTGCATTCTGCAGAAGAATCTTCAGGATGTACCTTTGAAAATCTCTAAAAGTTCTGCTGCTGAACACAATGAACTCTAGCTTTTTGTTTACCTCAAACAGTTTGTGGGAACTGATCGAATCTTATTGAAGCTAATATTACCAAGGTTCCCACGAGCATATCATAGTTGCGGTCAGCTACTCTTAGGAAATCTGCCCTCACTATAATATAAACAAGGCAGCAGTAGGTGTTTTTTACTTTGCAGCTTGTAACTTAACAATCTCCCTGACCTCATTTCAGAGCAAAAGACATTGCCCTTTGAGAATCTAAGCGATTCTCAACTGATCATGACCTCCTACCCTGTACCACCATAAAGGGATTTAAACTTTAAGAATTCACATGACTGGAAACAGACTATTTTTAAACACTTTGTTTAACCAAGCCACTGTTTATACATGTGACACAGAGACACAAAGACACTACCATTGCCAAAAACAGTAATGGCCCCAATCATTGTCTCTGGATGCTTTGATCTCTAAAGAAGCAAGTAAAAACATAAACTTCCCATAATTCCTGGAAGTAAGCAGATCAGGCAGGCATAAGGTATGTGAACAATCTATTGCCTTTCCAAGTAACTGAAATGAAATAACATAATTATATGAAAAATGTCTGACTCTTAGCATATCACTGAGGAACTCTACCTCAACAAACATTGCATTCACTGCTAGAAATTTGGCTCATGTTTTGTTGGATGTCTGTGAGCAATATTTGTTGGCTATGAAAAAAAAAAAAAAACCTTCTCACACAGCTCCAAATTAAAGTTGCATCAGTAAATCAAGTGTGCAATGATTATATCCCAAGGTGAACAAGGTGTATGCAATGGTTAAATCGTGTTATATTATTTTTCTTAAATCTGACCTGATAAGAAGCATGTAGCCTGGTGTCCCCCCGAGGGAGATGATAAAGGAAGTGATGACAGAGAGAGCCAGGAAGTACGGGAACATCCTGTCACAGTCGTCCTTGTGAGGGCACTGACCTGTACTGGCCGTAAAGTTACCAGCCACACCGACACAGCTACAGTTAGAGAAGACCTGGAGAGACATGCATAGCCGCACACAAGTGACCATGTATAGCAGGACAAAGACACGCATTCACACACATGCAAACACAGCAACACATACTTACATACATATATACAAGTGGAAATGGGTGTGGTGCAGGAGTGTTCAGGGGCAACAGGTTGCCACTAAAATCACTGTTGCAGTATAATCAATTAATAATCAATAATCAATTACAAAACATAAAAGCCAACCATGTGCAGTAGAGCTGAATTGCTGTCCACATCTCAGATTTTCATCAGCAATTAATTTTGTGATAATGAAGTGAAACAAAATAGACTAGGGCTCCCATGACACTCACATAATCTACCAAGTATTGCAAATGTATATAAATGTTTTCCCTTATTAAAAGCATTCATTGATCATGTTACAGAGATGTCAAACCATTTTGTTTTGACTGCGAATGTGTTGAGGATAAATGAGGATAAATGGATGCACAAGCATGAACAGGCAGTGTACTTCTCAGTAATACATTTTTTTTATTATTATTGGGCCATGTAATAAAGTTAAAACAGAATTTTATGACATCAACGTGTTCAACCAAACAAAGCTGTGTTAAAGGCATATAACAGCAGAAGCTGGGATATATACAGTAGGCTTTGTGACTTTTAAAGTTCAGCTGCAGCCTACACACTACTAAGGTAATTACCACCATAAATTTATTTTCAGTGTGCAATATTTTATTTTTATTTGAGCACCTTGACAACTTACTGTGTTTTTCCCTGAGCCAGCAGAGCTGGTGCAGCCAGCAAGACAGGGAGAAACATACGTGATGCCATTCTCCCCACAGACTGGGTCCCACTCACTCGCTGAACAAAAACAGTCTGAGTTGCAGGTTGTGAACACTGGATGTTTATCATAAGATATCGTATCCATGCTGGAAGGAAGAGAGCAAGAGCAAAGTGCAAATGAGAGGCAAATATTTACTAAGCCATGACATATCTGTTAGTGTAGTTGTAATACATTTAAAAAACAAAGGCCAGGCCAAAGCAACATTAGCAACAGAGGCTGTCACACATTTTAATACATTTGGTGGAAAAAATTGCCTCTTTTTTTTCCATGGCTAACTTTAACGGAAAATTATGTATTGTTTTAATGGTAATGTTCATTTCGCTCATTAATGTCACACCTTCAAAAAAACACTTAAGTGAATCATGTAGGCAAACTTACTCGCACATGTTATTATTTAGCATCTACTTTAAGGTGGTTGGTGCCACGGTGGCGGTGAGCTGGAGTGAGGAAATGATGGGATTCATGAATCAGTGAGCAGATAGCTGCTCACTGATTTATGAAAGTAAACAGAGAGTTAATGAGCAATAGGAAATTGAATATTCTATTTACCGCAAGCACTGTTGGCTCTTAATTGTGCGTGCCAGCTTCGGCACACTCACTGTAGGTTAATTAGCATGTGGCACCCATCTGGCTGCTTTTCATCTGTTTTGTCAGCAGTATCACTACAGTTGCGTCTTGCTGCTGAACCTCAGTTTTAAGACTCAGCAGTGCATTGGGCACACAGCAACTGATTCTTTTTCGTTGGTCTTTAAGCTTGTGATCACCTACTGGCTCCCTACTATGTCAAACAGCAGTCTGCAAGCTCTGTTGGCATTTCTAATGCTGTTGTTTGATGTGCGGGTGCCCATGGAAACCTTCGCTCATTTGGTGCCTTGATCTAGATACGAGTCAACATTTTCACTGTTGAATTAACTTTGTTTTTGGTTAAATAAGTAAATTCAGGTATTAGTTGCACACCTAACATGGACCACTGCGCTGTCACTGCTGCACATCAAAGCCACTTAGTTCTGTACTTGCTTTATGATATGAAACTCACGCGCAAAGTGCACTTACAGAAAACTAAGTAATAATCTGTGAGGTAAATCACTGATTGCACTATGTTCACTAAATTGGAAAAAACAAATACCTGCACAATAGTCAGCAATCATCAACCCCAACACACATTATTTGTGACTGACCTGTCGTACGAAAGTGTCACCCCGGCTACCTTGGCATTCTCGCAGCTCATTGCGAAGAAGAACAATGATAGAATGTAACCGATCAGAGACGTGCCAAAGGCAAACCTGGCCGCTCCCATAATGTTCAGCTTCAGCCTCTTCATCAGTAGACCTCCAGAAAACATCCCCAGTGCCACAGCGGGGATATTGATCACACCTAAGATTAAGAGAAACAGTGGAACACAGGATCAATATCAACTGAAATTAGATGTTGATTTAAAGGCTAAATCTGGATTTGAAAAAACGATGACAAAATGATGAGATATGATGAGACAATATGATTTCATATTGTATCAAAGCTTGGCCATCATCTGTCTAACATTTGCTGTTATTGCATTGAGGTAAACTACTGAGACTCATTAATTAATTTATTTATTTGGACCCCCATTAGCCACTCCCAAGGTAGCAATTACTATTCCTGGAGTTGCTCTGATGAAAAATAAGGCTGGGGCAATTCCAAGGGTCCTTGATCAAAAAAGAGCCCTGTTTTTTATTTTATTTTTTTAAATCTCTTCTCATATACCTTCATCTGCCATCAATGTGAAGGCATGATCTTTTATCTATACCCATGTAATTAGCCCTGGTCACTAATATTGCATTCTCTTTCATATGCAGCCAGTCCGATCAGCGCAGGCATCTCCCTTGATGAGACTACATGAACCTAGATACTTTCATCTTATGTTATCAACTTCGTTAGATATTTTATTTCATATGCAAAGCACTCGTCGTATTCACAAAGCGCCCGTCTCTGCAGCCGTAGTGGTTAACGGGTTGAATTAGAACACAGCCAACCCGGTCCTCCTGTCCTTAACAATATCCTCTCTCCGAAGGTCTGTTTGTGCTTCATTCAGAAAATGTAAAATTACCATAAATTAAAGGGGAAAAAAATTCTGTGAATGTGGAATTGAAACTGTGCATCTTTATCTTTTAGTCTATGTTGTGTACATACTTAACACTAGAATTGATTTGAGCAAATTAGGCCCATTTAAGAGCTTGTCCTGCCATGCAATGCAAACCAAGCAGAAAAGGAATTCCCTTGCTCCATTATGTGCTGATTTTCCAGGTTGTATACAATTAAGTCATGTGACGCATGCAGTATTTATGGAGAGTGTACCACACCCATCAGAAAGTTGGCCTTTGAGGCAGACTGCCTGAAGTGCTGCTCGATGTACTTGGGTTTGTAGGTGACCATGCCGATGAGAGAGTTCAGCTGGATGATTGTCACGCACAGGTAGATCAAGTAAACTGGGTGTCCCAGCAGAGTCCGCAGGGTTGGAATGAAATCTGCAGAGGGATAGAAATGTAAGCTGAATGTTAAATATCTCGTTGTTATTGTGACGGCTGACACATCTCTAATTACTGCTGTGAATGGAAATTTGCCTTTCTGTCTAGATGTTGCATTATAAGGAGTACTGCCTTGTGAAAAAAATGAAAGCTGCTATGAATAGAAATTGATGTGATTATAGCACTATTATGAATTATTGTGATGACGTGCATTTTTTGTAGAAAAATGAGACAATCTGGGTAATAAATGGTGCAGTTTATGTGCTGTTTTCAACCATTTTGTTCTATAGCCCATTCAGTTCTACATACAGGGGCTTTAAACTTATAAAACCTTAAAATCATCTATATTTATGAACAACAAAGGGGACATGAATCTGGAAAATGCATTTTTAAATGACTGCAAACCTCTAAATCCATCCTCACCTTTGGCCATCTCTGTAAAACTAGTATGTTTGTCTGCTGGATACTTGTGATTCAGAAGGGGAGAGTCTTTAATGAAACTCGTCTGCTCTGGTGTGCACTTCTCTGGGCCCCGGGGTCCAGATATGGGCAGAGAGCGGGGCAGAAACCAGAAAGGAATGGCAGAGAGCAAGGTGATGACCCCGGCTATGAGGTAGCCCAGCCACCAGGCCCCCACCCAGCGGGCATCTGCTGGGGTGATGGTGATGGTTTCTGTGTTGGCAATACAGAGCATGAGAGGTAATCAATGCTCATATCATGCTCAGGGTGCTTACTTCAAATAGGATGAACATATTAGTGACTTATGGTTTAATGGGACAGTTTTAAAGTGAGATATGCAGCAGAGTTAATTTTCGTTAACGAAAACTGTGATGAAACAGAGGTTGAGGTTGACTAAATATGACTAAAACTAACATGGACTCTCATCCCAGGACAAAGACACTACATGTATAAATAGCTGGCAAAATTAACACCAATATGCAGTGTTTGAACAGTTCAACAGGCTGTCTCAAGCTTGTTGAGCCCTCTCTATACGTGACTGGATAACTAAAGAAAAGGATGCACAGATGAAGCACTGAGTACATATTTGCCTTTAAGGCACAACAGCAGAAATAAGCAGAACAGTCTACACACTCTATAGTTGGTCTTTTCATTGCTACAGTTTCTGAAATGAAATAGTTTGATTCTGATGTCAAAAGGATTTGTAGTAGGTACTCAGCTTCTTTCACCTAAGACATCCTTTATGCTAGGAGTAGCCACTTTTAATCAAGCTTCCTCCTTTTCTTTCCTCCTTCCCTCTGCTGCACTGTTTGATTGTGGCCCTCCCTCACCTTGTCTCATTCATTAGCTAATTGACGCTAATCCCGCACACCTGTTCTGAGTCTCTGAATTGTGCACACACAGGACTCTGGTGCTCTTGTTGTTGTATCTGATAACATCATGCCTCAGTTTTATGAATGAAAAGACCTTTTTCAGGGCAGAACATTTTGACCTGTAACGGCATCAAAAGCACAGGTGTGACTAATGACATTAACAATGGCTCTGTTCTGTTCGACTGTCGTAAGCCATTACAGTGTGACAGTGAGCCAGCATGAACAATACCGGGACCCTGAAACCATATTCCGCCGTCATCAGTTGTACTATTTACACCTGCGCTTTTCTTCCTGTAACATGTGAAAAAGTCGTCCATGGGAAAGGTCTTCTCTACATTTTTGGTCTCGATAGAATGTAGTGTTTGCTGTAATTGTATCGAATCCTGATTCCTCGTGGCCCACTTTTAGGTCACTGGAGAGTTTTAGAATTGTCAATAGGTCACCAATAATCCAACTGCTTTACTGCTACATTCACATGAGCTCTTTGTGAGTCTAGGATGAAGAGCTAATGACAACAAGTCTGCAAATTTACAAAATGGTCTGACCTTAGAATTAGAAATGTACTCTTGTTTAAACTCACCCATTTTTACAAATCCAATGTCCACATAGATTTTGGCACAAAGGGAGCCTAATAGGTAGCCAAACACAGGGCCAACCACCGAAATGGTCTGCACACAGCCTAGGACATGATAAACACACCAGAAGAGACACACAACACATAAACCGGTAAGGACTTTAGCTATGCGTATTAAGCCCTGAGACACTAGATAATACAAAGCACTACACGACATTTTACACACCGACATTTTACATAAATATTGGTTTACACATACATGTACATTTAAATCAGACAAAGCATTTACTGCATTAGTCCTTATTGAAGTTTACTTTTGCTTTAGTCCATGAGTAGCAGCCAAAACCTTCCTTTGACCATTTGCGTCCTGGCGTAATGAGGATGAACAGACGGCACTCTTTGCGCTTCTTGAACCAATGAAATGGTTGTGTTTAGGGAGGGTGCGTTGGTGATGACTGGGAGATGATGCTTCAGCAGCATCATATGTACATCATATGTAGAGCTTTGTCGTATTTTATCAAGTCTTGTGACCTTCATTTTATCTCTGTTGGCTGTGCTGCCTGCTCGCCCCGGCGCTCAGTTCTACATGATGATCAATAGCCCCAACACGTGCCCGGCCAAAACTGTAGGTTTAAATAACTACAGATGGCAACATACAAAGGCTTGATCCCTGTGTTTGTGCATCTGATGCACAGGCTTCCCATGTTAACATGGAAGCTGACCAATTACGAGATGGCTACTAGTTCATATACAGTATTTGTTGCTATGACTCTAATTGTTAACACATCACGCGCAATTTCTACAGAACATTTTCAGCAGTCAGACCAGTACAGTCAGAACACAAAACTGCACTGGTCATCTTGCTCATCATTTTACACATGACTTAACAGAATACACTATGTACATTCACTTACACTGTATTTCAACCATGTCATACTATTCATTTTATACACTCCAGGGTAAATACAGTTGTGTGGAAATTTTACAAGTGTTCAACTGACATCTATACAGGAGCTGTTTGTACTGCCTTTCTGTGGTGTATCTATAAACTGGGCTGTGCACAATGCCTTGAGGGTGTTACTGTACTGTACAATTTTACTGTTTCTATTGGTCATATGCAGTACTTATCCACAAAAATGTACCCCGCATGTCAGGTCAATTACATGCATATTGGTATAAACAGATTGGATACGATTGAGAAGAACAGCACTGATGCACTGGTGCAGGAGTCTATTTGTATATTTTAGAATGTGCATGGAAAAAAATCTAATGTTTTTACCTTTATCAAACAGTCAGTAAATGTATCTCTACCAATGGGTGGTGCTTTTCTTACCCACATATAGGGCAGCGTTCTCCTCAGTAGCAAAATCATCTATGTAAGAGATCCCAAGAGGCTGAACTGGCGTCTCTCCAATCCCCCGCAGGACATTTCCCAGGAGCACATAGATCCACATCGACAGGTTAGAGTCGCCTTCACAACCTGGAGGAAAAGACAAGTGTAGTCGGACATCTCTGCTTGTCTGAACTAGTGTGTATGTGTGTAAACAATCACCTGTGGCTGGCACTTCAGGCAGTTTACCGTCTTGGGTCAGGTCAGCTGGTGAGCCCACTGGACATGGAGAGGGGTTAAGTGTTGAGTTCACTACCCACCGCACTGATGTTTCAAATTCATAGCTGGACACAAAACACAAATGGAACTGTTAAAAATCATGTGACAGAGATAAAATAATTATTCTATTTGGTTATAAGATACAATCTGTCAATTTTACTGGAAATTGATTTCATAAGTAACATGGAACAACAGGGAATTCCTGCTGGGAAAAGTGAAACACCCACAAGCATCTACAGTCAAGACTCACAGGAACAGCACTATGTTTGCTCTTTATAATAGTTACAGTGCTACACTAGGTACAGTAATATATGATGGAGAAATGATGGTGGCATTTGTGTATGTTAACTCAGACTATGCACATAAAAAATCAAATGTAAAATAGCACAAGCTATGAGAGGTTTTCCTATGGTATTGATACAGACTTCCTGGAACAAAAGTGTGTATTTGATATTCATGCTGTGTCATGGACTCTTTATCTAGTTGGTATGGTGGCCCTGAGGGTTAAAACACAACATTTCAGATTACAGAAAGAGTAGGACAACACTTTTTGTTTGTGACTGGACAAAATCCAAGTCAATTCAAAGACTGAATCAGCTGGAGGGACACTCTAAACACTACTCTGCTGTGATTGTTTGTATTTGTTAAGCAACTGATGACACTCTGGGCATGTGTTAAAGTTAACTAAAATGGTCAGCTACAGAGAAGTCCCTTAGACGGCTAATTGGCCAATCGTTTAGGCCTTCTGCTTCAATGAAAAAGCTACGCCTTGACAAGTCAATTTCATGCTACCGCTTCTTCTCGGCAGTGTGTTGTTTGTTGTCATTGGAAATGACATTGAACTGTCGCCAGGGACTTGGGTTCTATCCAATCACAAACAAGAAGTGTTGTCCCACCTTTTACATAATCTAAAATGTTGTTGTGTTTTGTGCAATGTTGTTATGTTTTGACCCTCAGGGCCACCATAAATTGATTAGTGATACAGGATATGATTAATCTTCTTGTGGATATGAATTGGTACATTATTGTTTGGCACAGCTTGTAAAGGAATGAGATGCACATGGAAACAACAGCTTCACTACCCAATTTCTGTTTGGCCCAAAACACATTTTCTAATTAAATTTTTACTGGGCTGTTTAATCTTTGCTTCAGTCAACAGGCATGTAAAAATAAAAACATTATTATTGCATTTTGCATGATGTAGCTCCTGTGCAGCTGTTATTGATGTGTTGGAAACTCATGCATTACATGTACTAGTATCCATAGTCCATAGTTGAAAACAAACAAGAACTCCTTTTACTCACCGTCCAATGATGAAGTGAGGCAAAGCAATGATGAAGGTGCCAATGGACATCAGTACACAACCCACTGCGATGATCTTTGGCCGATGGAGCTTGGCACCAAAGTAACTTACGAAAGCTATCACCAACAGGTTACCTGCAAGGATGGAGGGCAGAGCCAGAAATACCAGGGGACTTAGAGTGTTACTGTACATGCTGGCAGGCTGAAGAAAGAACAGGAGTTGAAGCAAACATTTAGTCTGAGAAGCGGCAGATCACTGCTTTATTACATTTGTTATAAACATTATACGCATATTTTTGTGACCCTGTGGGTAATTCAGATGTGGGTCTGTACAGTATGCTGGCCAAGTATTTGCAACCAATTGCTTTTTATGATAATGTCATTAGATTACAATTGGATTTCACTGTTAAGTGGAATGATTGAGCTCTTACTTCAAAATTTGATCCAACAAAATGAAAAATTCATGTGTAAATTTTTATACAAAATGCAATGTAACAGTCTAAAAATCAATCATCCAAACATTATTTCCCATATGTGCATTAGCCGGTATAATATCTATTCTGTAGATACATTTCATTATAAAAATAGTATACATTTGAAGATTCTCAATCATCCAGATCATTGTTATCCAAGAAGAGCTGAATCAAGGGTAACTGTATTCCGCTTTGTTTAGGACCACCGTGCATCTTCCCTTATCTGCCCTAATCTGCCGGTAGGTTGCTGATGTTTCGGCCCTTGCTTAGGGACGTCACAGTCTTCCTTTCCTGGCTGGTTTAAAAGAGGAGAAAAGGAGGCCATCTGTCACTGACACTTGGCCTCAGGTGACACCAACCAGTCTAATAACAGTTGTTACAATGGCTGTGGCTCAGGTACAGCGGGTCGTTTACTAATTGCTCGGTCGATGGGTCAATTCCTAGAGTCCCTGGGTAAGATATTGAACCTCAAATTGCCCCCAATGTATGCACTGTTTGTATGTGGATGGAAAGTGCTTGAGTGGTCGATATGACTGGAAAAGTGCTATCTAAGTACAGTCCATTTACCATTTACAACAACCAGGAACACCAACGAATCAAGTGGCCTCCTAACCAGTCAGTCAGAAGTGAAGAAGACTCTTGAATGGTATCTTTAACCAAGTCCTTGATTCAACTTTCCTTGGATTAACAGGATACCTAAATATTTTGACGTGCCCACGTAGGAAGGCATCTGAAAGTCAGATGAGGTTGTACTCACACATGATGCATTATCTTCATGCTCCAAGAGGTTTGTTTTTATGATATACAGCATGTAGCCGCAGATGTGTTAGATGGAATGAAAATTAAACAGGGCAGAATAGGAACATGGCCATTTCTCGATTGTTACCTTTTGGTGTCATTTGTGTATGATTGGTGACATGGAAACTCCATCGTAAACAGGTGGAAAAGTGGCCTAGAAAGACAAGCTAACACCATGTTGCCTGACCTTTTTTCCACTGTAAAGGTTTAGTTGATGGGATGACGTCAAACCCTCCAACAATCCTTCAGCTGTTGTCACGCGTGTCTGTGTCTATGTCTGAATCTGTGTGTGTGTGTGTGTGTGTGTGTGTGTGTGTGTGTGTACATCAGCTGGGTCCAATCAGCTAAGCTCATCTAATGTGATCGCTGTAAAGATCATCATCCATCATTATAACTCTCTACTCCCCATTCTCATCTTCATTATTCTTTTTTTTTTACTCCTTTCCCACTTCTTCTCTCCTTCTGTCTTCCCTCTACTCTGTTCTCCTCTCCTTTCCTTTCCTTTTTTCTTTCCTCTTAACGCTGCCCTGCTCTGCCTCTATGTTGCCCTGGCAACGGTCCTATAGAAAAAGCTTGTTGCCTAGGCCACACGAAAGAAGCAGCTTTCACAGGAGACGTAGAGATGGAAAGATAGAGGGAGAGAGAGCCGGGGTATTCAGCTCTGTCATCTTCACCTTTCCCTCTGGCTGATACACCCCAACTCCATCAGAGTAGCAACAGGTTGCACACTCTTCCATAATGTTATTGAAGAAAAATGTTTATTACTCTTCACTACTATCGTGTTACCCTTGGCCCAAACTGCCTGTCTGACGTAAAAGAACAGAAGTAGAATGACTTATAGTGGATGACGACTTTCATCTTGTGTGAATCATATCTCTTTGGGTCTCATTTCGCTCGGCAAGCAGTGTGTATGATTTATAACCTACAAGAGACACTGCCACTGAATGGACTAGCCTTACATAACTGACCTAGAAACTGGTCAGGGGACAATCTGGGAACACATTCTGCTGAATGTTATGAAGAATTCCTTACTGTTAAGAGGAACCACAGGTTAGAGTACGTCCAATAGTTGTGGTATGTATACAGCAGTGCTGCAAGCCCAATCTACTAACTAGCTGTGCATTTTCACAAATTAAATCTGTGATTTTGTCAAATAATTTAAATATAACTTTTATTCTATGAAATATCACACTACCAGCACTAGGAATTGGCTATTTCAAACCTGAAATTAGTTTGAAACAGAGAAAAGAAAAATAATTGATTTAGATTTTTTTAACAAATACAGCACATTGTGCTATCCTTGATGCTTCATCATCAAGTTATACAGCCCTTGCGTGATTCTTCACGAATTCATTTCAAAGTAAATTTCCATGACTGTGTTCCCTGTGGCACTGTCTACATCTATACTGTATATACTCTCACAGCGCTCCACTGATTTAGCATTGCAATCCTTTAATATTGCCAGACTCACAATGAACAGTTGATGCAGCAGAACCAAAGACATTGTCTCTTTTATTCCACACATTCTTCCTTGTTCTGGTGCCTATATTACCCATGATGCAACTAGACTGCCAACAGTTCGGTCAGAGATCCTGGGTAGAGGAGCAGGCTATAGAGGTTATTGACATTACCTCAAATTATGTCATTTGAGGTGGCTAATCAGATTTCTTGCAGCTCTCCCTTGAGCCACAAAATGCTTGGCACAACATTTTTTTTCACATCTGCAGTAATATTCCCAAACACCTGGAAACAGACTTCGATGTGTATATAGCACCGTTCCCCTTAAAGGATTCATATTTTGATGTATAGCTTGATGTAACTATACTGATCTGTTTTAGTGCAGCAACACTATATCAGCACTAAAGACATCCACAAAAAAATAGTGTTTGAAGAATATTTTATGTTCGCTGTAACTTTGTGCCTGTGGTGGATTGGGCACCTGCACAGGGACTACCACACCTCTTGTCCAATGACAAGGCTGTACAGGATAAGTGACTTATAAAAGAAATAGATGGGTGATGGGTGGATTGAACTTTTTTCAACTCTCTCACCTTCAGTTTGAGATATGGGAGATTTTGGGTGGCAGCCAAGATATAGAGTACGCTGATACATACATAGTATCTGTGATAAGTCGGTAATATTATTGGTCATACCAAAATATCAGTCAGGCTTTAGTAAGGAAAAATGTCTTTTTGTCCTTTTTTGTTTTTTTTTGTTTTTTTTGTTTTTTTTTACCGTCTACCTCATTTTGTATTGAAAAGAACCTAAAAACCTTAAAATAACCTACTTCCCCAGTGTGAAAAAGCAATATTGGTCATGCATTGAAGAAAATTGTTTGATATTTTCTAAATGTCTGCCTAGGCAGTTTGTGTTGCACTTACACAACAAATTATTTTAGTATTGCCTGAAGGGTCCGCCTGCTTGTAGCTGATTCACATGTCAGATAAAAGCTGGTAAATGCCAGATGATTCCCATGTACATCACTGGGGGGGGAAGCTGGGATTAAATTAACAGTATAGAGAAGTTACTGCATAACAAAAAGCTTACAAATTCCGACTGTCGACAGCAAAGGCAGAGCTTGGAGCCTTTTATGTCCCTGGTCGACACTATGACTCACCACACACACACACACACACACACACACACACACACACACACACACACACATACACACAAACACACACACCCCTCTGTCCTCTTCTTGGAAGCCTGATGAATCCTTTATCTGCAGCTTGAATATCTCTGTGACCCATTCATATTTCCGTCCCAAAGACAGAGAGAGAGAGAGGGGAGGGGAGCCCATGACATGGAGGCTGAACATAGAAAAACAAAATAACAGCAGTGACTGGCAGGCCTACTCACCTATCTCGAAGCTCCCGTCAATGACACCTATTAGGTAACTGGGGATGTCAAAGCGCCTCTCCAGCTGTGTTATTGTGCTCTTCATGTAGCTCCCCGACAGAGCCTTTGCAAAATAGGCAAAGGACAGAGCCACCAGAAACATCTGGGAGAAGAGAGTGAAATGGAAAAAAAGGAAAGAGAAAGAAACAAAGAATGGTAATTATAGGAGTGTTAAACTACAAACATGCAAATGCAGTGTTTTAACCTAATTATCACTTATAATTATCTACTTGACTGTGTGATGTTCGCACATGTTTTTTCCACAAAGTAGGACAGAAAAGGAAGCACTTGTGTGATATCACCTTGGTTGCTACGATGCATGAACTCCCCTCATTAACCTACTTGCAGTTGTCCAACATTCACTAATTAACAAGTGCCAGCATTGCAGGAATAATGAGATTCAGATGAAGGATGGGGATTTGAGTGGGAGGAGAGGGATGGAGATGAACACAATGTGTAAGTTGGAGAACATGAACCGTCAACAACAACGAGGGAAACTATAGCTGGCTCGTATTTGAGTGAAGATGAATTTATTGATAAAAGAGAGAAAGTAATCCATGTGGGATGGACTAGCACAGGGGCGTCCTATAATAAAACAGGTCAAAATCATGTATGACAAAAAAATAAAAGTGTAAGGCGGTGAAAACTCTGCCACCAAACCTAGCAGAGACAGAGAAGGACTCTCCGTAGATCAACTTCTCATCTTGATTTAATTTGTGCTATAATGAGAGTGAAGAGCAGCGAGCAACCTCTGACAGTGACTGGGCCCAGATCAACAATTCTCACAGTTATGACCAAAGGAAATCTAATAAACAGACTTACTCGTGGCAGAGGTCCAAAACCCCAGACAGTGCTTGATGCTTCCTTTTTTTTGTGCTCCAATAAGTTGAAAAATTTAGGAGCGCATAAAGAACTTGCAAGGAGATATTTGAATTATTATTCATGAATTATTATTGAATACAAAAAGCACACAAGGTTTTTCATTATTTCTGCTTCAAACTGTATTTATTTAATAATTATGTAATTATTTATACTTTTAACTGCTTTAAATTAAGAATAACTGCTTTATTATACAGGTGTTCACACTATTCATACCATTTATAGAGTTTAAAGCAGTTTGAAGCTTAAATAATTATATCAATAGAACACCGAAAATAGTCAGCTCAGTCTGTTCAGACACAAAAAGTGGTGAATAGAAGGCCCTTTGCGCTGATGAGTGGATCACGTGATTTTTTTTTTTCAACAGACAACCCTGGTTCAGCTCAGTGACTGAGTCATCTTCATTGCTGTTGTGTTATCAACCTTTTTGTTAAAAGAAAATAGTGACTGCTTGGGCTGAGTTTTGTAATACCTCTTATTTGCACACATGCTTCTAAACACATTTTACAGTTTGCACACATCTATTTTTAGACGCAAATGCGAATGAAACGCTCACACTGTTGAACCTTGCTGGACAAATTCAGTTTCCTCATTAACATCAAAGTCGGCCCAAAACCTACTCAGAGTGCAAGAAAGTTTTTTTCATAGGGTAGGAAATATAAGTTCCTGATCTAAAATCAAATAAGACAAAATGTGTAAAATGACAAAATGGGTCAACTCTGGCTTTTTTACATTATAAAATGTAAAAAAATATTTTAAAAAGTCTCAGTTACTTCCACACAGCACGCCACTTCCAACAAAAAGAGAAGATGAACATAAACAATCAACATCTCAGGACCTATTCTGAGTGACAGTGTTCAAAAGTACTTGTTGTTGGCTTCCACAGCCTCTGAAGATCATTTCAAATGTAATCAGTCTTTTAAAAGTTATTAGCTCTTGATGATGAACATTTGGCTGTCGTGATATACTTGAACCAAGATAATGCAATGGCTGAATTTGAGGCAGATAGCGATCATCCAAAGCACTGAAAAAAACTTTAAGTACCAACCTGGGGATTAAAAGGCACAACAATAATACGGACTGTGTGATAGCAGGGCAACGTTCCAAGTCCAACCACAGGTCCCCAGCTTGTGAAGTTATAAAGATATGAAGCACTCTAGATATAATTAGGAATTAATCTCTCTCATCACCAGTTTCCCTTCTATATCTGCTATATGTTTTATGACTGTATGTTGCATTTACATACTTTGGGATGTTTAGATTTTGGTAGCGAGTAATTAGATAATTAACCAGTCTACCATGAAATTTACCTCTCTGAAAGCGACTGCTGTACTGTCAGTTACAGCTGTCCTTAGCCAGGTCATTTGCAAGTTCACTGAGAAAACGGATGATGCTGAAATATGCCGGTCGCTGTGTACGTGATAAACCCAGCTTCCTGTGAAATATGGAAGAAATGAAAACAAATTGGTGTTTAGGAATGGTCGACTAGTTGAATCTAATCTAGAGTCACATGTTTGCCCCAGCGTGCCTATAGGAACAAATCCCCTATAGGGTTTGTATTCTCTGTCCTCTGTGACCTTTCCACCTGTCTAATGAAACAAGAAAATGAAATCTGTCCACTGTCCACTCTGCTCATTTCACTCCACTTAACAGTATTTCTACAAGAAATGTGTTGTTGATTATTTGTCTTCCTTAAGGTCACAGACTATGTTAGGTGTAAAGCATAGATTATTACCTGAGAGCTCAAATCATTTTACTAATTTTTATTTTATAAATGTATAAAAGTTCAATTTTAAGTCTAAAGAAAACATTTATTAACATGCCGATTTATGCAACAAGGTGCTCCAACAACAACACATAGTGTGAGTGTGTATCTATGCAGGAGAGACTGACATTGCCTGTTTTTCACATGGTCATGTGGATTTAACTCTTTTTCTTTTGCGTGTATATTTTTTTTAACTCCTCATTCACCCTCCATATTCACTTCAAAACACTATTTGTTCCTTTCTTGCCAGTTGAGGGAATTGACAGTGGTTTCATTGCATTGGTTTCACAGAGCAGGGTTTAGACAGAGGAAGAATAAAACCTTTGTGTTGCCTATACAGTAAGTGTCTGTAATCTTATTCTGTCTCCCTGAGTGCTTGTGAATAAGTAATGATTTGCGGTCTTTGTCATGGTTCTTATACTGCAAGAACCATGGGTATCCAGCACTGACGTATGAAAAGCAGCGCACATGAGAGTCACATTACATAAATGATCAGGCAAAGACATACCATGGCCATAGAAATGACAATGGCTGGAAGTATTATTTAACTATAGTATATATACAATATGTATATATGACAAAATCACAATCAAAATCAAAGTGCAAATTATCAGCAGTGAGGACACAGTTTGACCTTTTGACCATCTAGTGGTAGTCGGAATGGACGCAGCTGACTATACTACCAGTGCTGGTGAAACCACATTAACAAAGTTAGAGAGGAAGCTAGCTCTGAGTCTATTCAGCATGTGCAACGACAATTGTGAGATAATCAGGACTTTGCGATACTGAGATACAAGTAGCAACTTGTCTTATCCCTGCACCTCTCCTTGTGCATCCATTTCCATGATATGATGTGAGAGGATCCATCAATGCAAACAGACCTCTGTTGAGATCATGCTGACCACCAGTACTGGCTCTGGGGCATTAATGAAAGTAGCTCATCACATGTGCAGTTCCCGGGGTGGTGGTGGTGGTGGTGGGGAATTTAACCCTAACCGAGGAGAAGGGTAATTGTCAGAAATTCCAGAAGGCCATGAATATATTATATATAACACTGGTGGCCCTCAAAGGGAATTAAGCCAACAACATCAACGTTAAATTCTTAATTATACTTTTAAAGCTTTGTGCTTGTGCTGACTCAACCTTTCGCACCAACAAAGTGCCAGTTTTGGTGGCCATAAGAAGATTAGTTCCTACTTGTGCTGGTTCAGTCATTTAGTGGCTCACAATGACATTGTTTGTACCAGAATGGGTGGCTGAGTGAATTACAGACGTATATTTCTGAAAATCATATCAAAGATACTTTATTTTTCCCCCCTTTGCATTCTTTATGTGACAGCGAGCCCATAGAGTTTTCTCCTCTAGTTGTAACTATTTAAAGTTAAGATCACACTGTTTTTAAGGGAAATGAGAACCGAGAGCTGATTCACATGCAGGCCCCTCACACAACTACAATTCATCGGTTTAAAGTAGAGAGTGAAAAATAAGGCATGAGACAGAAATAATGTGATAGGTTAGTGGCTAAAATCAAATTCATCATACGTTCCAGCACCATCTGCACAACTTATTTCACAAAAATAGACCTTGGAGTGCACACTGTAAAACCCGGACCAAAAAATAAAAACAAGATCAAAAATGTCAAGGCAAATGATATAGCAAATCTCATTTTAACTAAGTTGTTGATCAACTTTGAGAGATTAGTCTTAGTGGAAAACCATTTTTGCAGCAGTATAATGCACTTTTATCTAAATTTCTGTAATTACAAAACAGGCACTGTCCCAATGAAAATTGTTTTATTTGCACTACTTATAAAATTTTACCAAAACTGTGATATAATATCTAGATTGAAAATGATTTTTGCCTTCTGCTGTCAGAATGTGTGCCAGTGAATTTTGTTACCTTCGGACAGACGCAGGCTAGCTGTTTCTCCCTTTTTCCATTGTTTGTGCTGAGCTAAGCAAACAGGCTGCTGGCTGTATCATATTTCATATTTAGCTAATAGATATGGGAGTGGTATCGTCCATCTCTCTGCAAGACAGTGAGTAAGTACATTTTCTAAAATGTCAAACCATCGTTTTTAATTACAAATTGTCAGAAGAAAGTGGAGTTGCAGCGCCATGCAACGATAAGATTATCCCTGTAAAATATGGGTTAATATGGGTTATAATTGCATGCCAGCAGCAAACTCCATATATAATTTGTCATCAATGAACATCCCTGTATTAAAACCTGTGGCAAAGGAACCCCAATAGTGCATTGTCCTTTTACAGATAATGGTGACAATGAAGGCTATTGTTTGCATAACATAAAGTGTAGGCTGATAAAGAAATGGTCTCAGTGAATGCATTTTGATTAGGACTGGTATGACTTCTAGAGAATAACCCTACTGTAAATAATATCAAAAGTGATGTCATTATTTGCAAAGAAAGTAATGCATTAGTAATGGATGTCTTCTTCTGAATAACATCATGCTCATTTTTGGGATTTGCAACAATAGCATGCAATGACATTTTCATTCTGTACTTTTAATTGGTGTTCTACCAAGTGTTAAATGAGCAGTGGCCTCATTGTGATTAAAGATCACTGCAAAGATATTCACATTAAGTCTGTGCGAACATTTAAACAAAGCCCCCTCGTGACCTGTGACGCGCTTTTGTTCTTAGCTCACTGATTTCACACAACTAATATGTTTAGACTAACACAAGAGTCTGAGACACACACACACACACACACACACACACACACACACACACACACACACACACACACACACACACACACACACACACACACACCGTTTTCTATTATTTGTGAGAGTGATGTCCAAAAGTAGAAAACAACAAATTTTGCAATACAAAACATCATTAGAAAGTGTTCAGGGAGTTCTGAGATGGTGTTTGAAGCAAGAAATGAATGAGAAATGAAAGAACACAGGGACATTGTTGTACTAAAGTTCTAGTCTTATTGGTGGAATTAACAACAAGCAGAGAATAACATTGAGCACCGGATTAGAGTGGAAACGGGCTGTGCCATGTCCCACCCAGCCGGTCAGGGAACCAAACAATTCTGAGAAAAAACAAAAACCTGTCCTGCCACTGCAGTCTCTATTATGATAAGCTGCTTGAACACCATTGTCTCACATTACTTTCATGTGGGAAAAAGCAACAGCGTCTGATCTCATTTTGGGATTTACTAACTTTCATGTTGTTGGCAGAAGACATAGTTTCAGCCAGTTGACCATTCACAAAGCCCCTCCCTGGAAAGGCTGCTGTCCAATCCTATGTTAGCAACAATCTGGACACCGGGATAGCCCTATTTATGCTTGTATTTATTTATGATCTATTTTTTAAGATTCTATTTTAGATTGTATTGTTTTTCTAATAGTTTTTTACGTTGACATTGAATTATATTTAATTTAAGTTTCATGAAAATAATAATTGATGGGTTATAAAAGCACTGAAAATTTTCATCTTGTCATTGAGTTGTATAACAGGCTAAAAGAGCTTTTGAAACACTTAGTGTGATTAAGGGCTGAAAGACTTAAAAACAGTTAAGTGAAATAAATAATAAAAAACAAAACAAATAAACAAGAAAACATCTGTATCAGCATCAGCTACTGGCCAATTGTTATTTTAAACATTGTATTGGTATTGGTCGTGAATTTCATAATCGGTGCGTCAATACTCTGTATTATGAACTACTAAACAGTAAACCAATACGCTAATCTTTGAGGGTATTCCAGTTACATTGTTTAGTGACGCACTTGGGTTAACTCAGAACATCCTAAAAAACTTAATTGGTTCACTCAGTCATGTACTTGGAATACCCCTGCCTCCCCATGTATCGATGGTCTGCACTTGTGATCATATCCCGCCTTCGCAACCACCACCGATGATATGGGCACAGCCTTGATTTTACCACCTGTTGGTTTGTGCCATTGTTGTGTCAAACTGTGGGATTTAGTTGAGCTTTCCTATTGCACCTTTATGACATCAAATGCATGGATCAAACCCACGATGTGGTAGTAATATCCTCGAAGGTTAATTTAGGTTAGTTGAAAACTATAGATTGACATGCTGGGTGCAAACGCTTGACAGGCATAGCAACGGTAAACAAAGGGAGGTGGGACTCGGAAAAATCAGAGAACTTTTTTATATTGAAAAATAAACAAAAAACAGAAGCCAATTAAAAGCTCGGTCTCCCTATTGTTTTCTGTTCTGCTATTTTTACTTGCTAAAGGAAGCTGACACTCTTGTTACTTCCTGCATAGGCTTCAAGTTACATGTGTTTTAATTTGAAGGCACCTAGGGAAGAAAGGTTGCTAATAAAATGACTTGGATGTCTTGGAGATTTTTCGAGCAGTCTTTGTCGTCAGGGAGATGATTTGAAAGTTTCCAAGGACTAAATTGATTTTATACACGTAATCTGCTGATGGAGATCACACGATATGATCGACAACTTAAGAAAAGCCATTAAAAGCACTTGCTGCTGAAACTCAACTTTTAAGCCAACATGTATGAGAAGTCATTGAAGTGCTACGAACATGACATCTGAGCAAACTCCCTCTGGCGTTTAACATTATGTGATGTGACTGAAAGCTCTAGAATAGCAACTTCGTCTCACTTTGAGGTGAGATTGTGTTGAGGACTGCTTTTGCTGCGTCAAATATGAACTTTAAAAACTCAGATTTTTTATTACGTCTTTGACAAAGAACAATAAGGGAGAGTGGATCTATTGAGTTTTGTTTTCTGACTTTAAGGAAGGAAGGAAGCATAACCACTGTACGGCCTTGCTTTCTCCCTAATGAATTCCGGGAAAAGGTAAGGCTCATACATAAAAGCCGAACCCCAGTATGAGTGTCTGAACAGTGTTTGTTGACTGGCTACCTGTTACTACCTTGTGCTGACACCCAGGGGACGGACTCAATGGCCATGTGAAGTTTTCTTTAAACTTTTAACTGATGGGAATGGATGAATAGAAGAACAGAAGCATGATTCAGTTCCTCAAGTAGTCTACTAATGCCTTTACATTTAGACAGAGAGGTCACGGGTTAAAATTTACAGTATCCCTTATTGACACACAGACATCATCCATGTGACTTGTTGGGCTGTTGCTGTAATTTTGTTACCAGATTTAGTGCTGATCTCTACACACACATGCGTTCCAACATATGTACCAAGTGAGCATATGACTCCCCAACGCATACATACACACACACACACACACACACACACACACACACACACACACACACACACACACACACACACACACACAAAGCATCTACAAAAGAAATAGCTGTCAGCTAAAGCTCCTTTATCCTATTATTCATAAAGATACTGTGACAACCACTATTTACCTGCCTGGCACTCCTTATGAACACCCCCAGAAAGACTCACTTGCACACTGTACTTACTGATTTGTTCCCGGTTTGCATCACTATTCAAAACAGTTCTTTTCAGTGTCCTGAACCACTAGATACAGTTCCTTAAAAAATATTTGATCACCCAAATTCAGTGCTCGACCGTAGCTCTGACTGCGTGCAGTAATTCCACTGACTGAACTGAAACACAGCAGAATACTGTATATTCCTGTGTTTCTATGTCTTTTAAGTCTTTTTAACTGATGTACAGTTCAACATTTCTCTTAAACTTGCTGGGTCTGATTCTGGCAGTTTGAACCACTGACTGTCACTCAGGGCTCACGCTCACTGTGTTCAGTGACTGAATCTCTGAAAATGCATCACTGAGACATTTTCAGGAGCTGCTGACTATCACTGAGTTTTTTTTCCATTCTTGCCATTTTTTGCTCTGCTAATGTGTCCTGCCATTCCTATATTCCTATATCCTTATATTCCTATATATTTTTTTTTTCGTTTACCCATTTATCACTCATGCTTCATTCTATTGCTATTTGTTTCTATACGCTACTCGTGACATGTTGAAGTGTATGTGTGTTCCTGCTGTGGAAAAGTCATTTCCCTACAGCATTAATATCGTTCCCACCAGAACACACCCCATTCTTCCTGTGAATGAAATGACTTGAATCATTCATGTGAGTGAGTGTATCCCTCCGCGAACGAATAACTTTCGCAGGGATTCAAGTCATAGATTCATTTGCACAGGGAAACACTCATGAGTGAGTGAATCCTGTTCACAGGGATACACTCACTCCCTGCAAACTGATCACTGAATGATTCATTGACTTGAATCACTTCGTGAGTTTATCCCTGCATGTTCGCTCAGAGTTCAGCTGAATTGAGAACTGAACGGATCGTTTCAGGAAGTGATTCAGTTCAGTTCATTCACACAAAAGATTTGTTCTTTTGAACGAATCGATCGTGAACGGCATATGAGTAACTTTAGCTTCAGTGAATGAGTGGCAAAGATAGAGTACAGAGGACAGACGGGGGATTAAATATTAATATTAGTAAAATGTGAGGTCGTCTAATCCCTCACAAGTCGCGTACACCTGTTCAACCACCTCTAACAACCATCCTCACATGTTCAGTCACTGCTCCACCTCTAACTGCTTGTTTCCAGAAGACAGCAGCTCAGAAAAACCTGGGCTGGGTTATTTGAATGACAGGACTGTACAGATCTTACTGACGTGAAAGTAAATGAACTTGTTTTGTGTGTGTGAAGATTCAACTCAACGCAACGGACCATTAATTAATTTTTTTTTTTTTTAAATAATTGGCATTGAATAGAATTGAACTGAACTGAGTTGTATAGAAAAGGAAAATCTGACTTCTGAGTTATTTTTCTTTATTATTATTCATTTTTTCTCAGGACCACTTTCCCATTCACTTCCCATTTCCCATTCACTTGAATGGGAAAGTGTGTCCAAACTTTTTACTGGTACTGCATGTGTTGTCCTTGTGTCTAGGGTGTAAGTGTGATAAAGCTTGCATCCATTGTTGAGGATTGACTAAAAAAAACTACTTGAAAAACTGAATTCAGACAAAATCTTGCCAGGAAAGAGACCTGCCCAGCACCCCACATAAACAAAAGTAGAATATACAAAGTCAAAGCGTCACAACACATTAGCTCGTGTACCTTCAGGCTGGTGCATGGAGAGGAGCGTGGCTCTCTGGCCATGCCGTCACTGCGTCCATTCTCCTGCGTGCGTCCTTGCTCAGCTCGTTCCTCCATCCTCCAGAAATGTCTCTGTGTCTCCTAAGCAGAAGTCTCCCACGTAATGCAATTTCTTGGCACTGATGCATGCAACCCTGCAAATGGATAATTCAAGCATGTGACCCACTTCTCATCCTCGGTACAAAAACAGAAACATGTCTATAGCAGCCGGCAGAGGAGAGACTGACACAGAAACACACAAACAATATGTATTTGTTCTAGAGATCTTAAGACTTCAATCACAACTAAGAAGTCAACGTTGTAATGACATGGGTGACGTGTGCACTTTTTCCGAACAAAAGGTCGTTGTTTCCAGTTAACTATTTTAAGCCACAGTATCAAAAACACTGAGCTAAACTTTCCTACATATCACCACTGCATACTTTATTCTAATGTCTGGCCAGTAACTGTCATCAAGTGACCAAACACAGAGTGAAGCATAAACTAAAATCAGTATACTGTATACACCACTTGAGAGGAAGCGCACTTTGATTTGCTGAGCTGAACCTCAGTTGCTTCTGAGGCCAGAACTGCTCACTGTCAGTGTGCTAATGGTTTGTAAACAGAGTGAAAATATGTATGAATTCAGTATAATGAATCCGCATAAATCTCACCAGCACTAACAGCACTGTACTCTGATGTCAGTCATCTGCCCATCAATTGCTTGCGCTAGGTAATCGGGAGGGAAGTGGGTGCATATGTTCAGTTTTTTTCTTTGCAACATCTACTAATAGAACTAAATGAAATGCAGGAAGCTGGTGTCTTTTCCTCAGCAGTGGGATCACTGATTAGGTCAAGCAGCAGAGCCAAAATGTTGCCACTTAACTAAGCTAGCCGTTGTATTGCATTTTAACTACCATGATACTACCCACTTGAAGTGTTCTGTGCTGTGGTAAACTGTTCGAACATGCATTTGCAGCAGGACATTCCTGAGCCCGCCTATGCAGTATCCATGCTGTGCTTGTGAGCAGGGTCAAAGCTGAGCTATACTGGCATCAGGGGTCATTTGAAATGGCTCAAACAAAGAAAAAGGGCAGCACATGAAACATACTCATATGTTAACCCTTCAGCAGTTTTATAGTGCCTACATGTGTAAACCAGTTTCTGCTGTTTGAATTGTATCAGATTTTCATGGTCCTATTCTTACGGCTCATCCAAACAAAAGGCAGCCTCAGTGTTTTCTGATCTGATTCCCTCTGTTGCTATTCGTCTCATTTGTCTCAATGGCTGATGCAAAATAAACACTTCCTGGTAACAGCTGCTTCACTATAAAAGTCATCCAGTGGTGCTTTTGTTTTCATTTGCCAGATGTCTTTAGATTAGGTTTTGTTTTGTTAGATTTACATAAATTCTTTTTGTTTCACTCACTGGAAATTTGGTGAAAAACTAAATATAAATCAAAATTGTGTAACAAAAAAGTATATACCCCATTATCCACTGGAAGGTTTCTACTTTGAAGCAGCTGCAGGAAGGGTTTTAGTCAGTCACTGTTGTTTGCACCGATGGCTACCTCACTTATCCTTTGAAGTTGTGGTAAATTTAGATTTGAACATTTTTCAATTGTTTGTGACAGATCAGTCTGAACACAGGTGCAGTCTGGGAAAAAATAATCACATTTTTTTCAAAGATAATAAGACAACACTAGAATCCAAACAACATGTGTGTATACCATGTAGATGAAGCAATCAGCTGATTGTACCCCCTTCTTTACATCTCCTTTTATCTCCTTGTTTGTTTCTTCCATCCTGCCTCCTTTCACTCCCTTGCTATTAATTCCTTCTCTCTAACTCCTAACATTCGTCTTGCTTATTTCACGTATTGCCCTCTCCTCCCCCCTCGGTCCATTTCCAGTGGTCATGTGAAACAGTGAATGCAATTGCTCCAGGGGACTGGCTTAGTGATTGCTATGTAGCAAAGAAGACTAACACAATACCGTCACCATTTCTGTCAGTGAGACTGCCACTAGTGCCACAACATGTTTGTAATATTTTCTTAAAATATAAAGTTTATAAAGTTTGCATTTCTCCCTATAATGACGTTTCTGTCTGCAGGAGCAGAGCAGAGCAAAAGGAGCAGGCTAATCGCAACAGGTTTGACCTACATTCAAGGAATTAGACCAACAGCAGCTTTAAGTAGTATAAAGCAGTAGTCCACAAAAGCAGCAGGTTTTGAAAAAAACATACAATAGTTCAGGAACTTTGTCTTATGTACCACCAAAGTTTATCTTTGAATCTCTATTTCCCATTCTCGTAAATACTGTGTAAGTACAGTACTATATCAAACACCATTTTACCTGCCACTGTTGTCTGGTAAAAAGACTCAAATACACTACAGATTATACAGACTATACACTATCATTATCACTGTATACTATCACTATGTTTAGGTCCTCATGATTTCAGCCACTAGATCATCAGGTTAACAGGGTGACTTGTTCTAGCATAATTTAGTCAGCATAGATAATGAAATATTCAAATTACATAATACATGAATATGTCACATGTTGAGGATAAACTAAGCATCAAAGTCTATTTACTAGCTTCAGAGCTTTAAAGTGCATCCAGGGGTCTTCTCTCCAGCTCTGAAGCTAATTATAAGGCCTTTGTGTTGTTCCCAAAGATCAAGAATAAATATCCAAACACAAACGTTCATTCACTCATATTGTTGGTTGTTCTTTGCTCCAAAATGCCTCACGCTGCTGTTACATGATCATTTATTATTAAGAAATTATAATTTTAATAAGACAAACAAGTTCTGTAGAGGTTGATGTGATGAGGAGACACACAGAGAGAGAGACAATAAGCTACATCTACCGCACACTTTATCACAGGTGAAGTCGCAAAACAGTTCATTTGTAAGGTGTAATGAGCACACTTAATCTTGGTCTGCCTATAATTTGCTTCTAATCTAGTGTTACTGTCAAACAACAGATGTAGCCATTAGGACAAAAGAACACCAAATTGATTACTTCCAATCACATATAAGCCTGGAGTGATGGCTGAAAACTGAACTGGGAAAAAAAAACAAAAAACATGATCATCTCTAATACCTTTGTTTTTCAAGGCAGCAGCCCTTAAAGGTCACTGGTATACAGCTCGGATACCAATACCATATTGCACCATAGCTGAAAGTAGTGCTAACATCGTGTGTAAATGTTTGCTGTCGTTCACAGACCGTACCTTCAAAGAAAAAAAATAATACGTGTGAACATCTATAAATTGTGCTGGTCATATCTTTTATAACAGGAGTAGGCTAAATGCAGTTTTTCTCATCAACGGATGACGCCCAGTCTCCTCAGTTTAATATGGTCACCACATCACTTCAACTATTCTGTAAACTAAGACAACACAATCACATGAGCTATCATTTTAAAATAAAAATGACTGTATCAAACATTTTAAGCTCCTCAGTCACTCCACCCTCTGAAAACGCTTGATATGACGATTAGTTTTGTTTGGCTTGTATCTTGCTGATGAATTAATATGCATGAAATGGTATCTGCATAAATTGTGTCTCCATATCTCCATATGGTATGTCTCTGCAGATTTATACAGTGTATAGCTTTGGGGGTGTGAATATCACTCCCCACTGAATCTGAGCATGCTGCTAAAGGGCAGCACCCTGGAAAGAATAGGCTGTTGTTAAATCTTCACAATGTCAGTGTTACCAAGTGAATTTACTGAATATTATATAGACTATAAAATGATAATACTGTAGCAGCCATTGGCAACACCAACACCAATTCTCCATAGCTCCACAGCTATCCATGCAAATGCGCACAATATTCAGTCTACCAAAATACATACAGTATGTCCCCAGTGAAAAATTAGTGTGCATGAAAAAATACACAAATTTGCAGCTACAAAAAAAAAAATAAAAAATTAAATGGTTTGACTGCCCAAAGGTCAAGACACTCAGTCAACACATCAGCCAGGAAACACCACCTTGGAGCGATGGGTATTAGTGGAAAGAGAAAAGCATTTAACCAAGACAAGCTAGTTAAAGCCCCCCTTCACTTCAATAAGGATAACCACTGAGCTAACAAGGTCAAACACACACACAGACAGACACCAACCCCTATAACCAACAGGATGGTTGGGTTAAGTCTGAAGATTAAAGATGGTTATGTTTAGATTAAGATTTGGAGTCGGGGTTAGGTTTGGTTCAAGTTTGGCAACAGGAGTGGGATCCATGATAAATCAGCCTCACCATCTTTACTGTAGATAAAACATCATTCTAATTATCTCTCAATACCGGTGATGATTAACATGCAGATGCTATTGATGCCAGCAGTCCTGCAGGTACAACAGGCACCTTGTGAACATCTTATTCACTCTAGTGCTGTAATAAATGCACATACACTTATTAAGTTTCACCGTTCATAAAACAGTATACTATTGTAGCCTATGTTTGCATTGAAAAAAGAAACTAAAATCATTTTAAAAGAGGAATTACTACCTTTAATTGGCCTATTTATTAGTTTTTAATTATTAGCTAGTTAAACACACATATTCACAAAGTACTATTTGAATATTACAGGAACCGAATAAATGCAATAAGGTCAGTCATAAGCAGACACACCTGATGAAAATGCCTGTTGCCATTTTTCACTACAGACGCTCCTTGAATCAATGGGTCACACAGCTGGGATAATGTCCGAGGAGCGTCAGGTGTGGGGTAAAATACGAACCGCTTACCTTACTGTCCTGTCAAACAGTCAGCCGGTTGCTTGAGCTCCGAAGACTAAACAGCCGGTCGGAAACGCAGGTAGCCTCCCTTCAGCCAGCTCCGGTCAAACTTCTCATGTGGATGGGAGAGGAGGAGAGGCGCCGACTCTTATCATGAATGCTCTGAGACCGACATGTACCTTCAGAGTTCATTTCCAGCCGACTTCACGGTAACTCTCAGGCAGACTAGACCGAATCAAATCGGGATCTCCTGAAACATGTCGGTGTATGTCAGTGTGAACGCCGCTTGGAGATATGGCGCGTTAGATGCGCACGGAAAGTGACCCCCCCAAAGCCTCCTGTTATCGGGACCGACTCTGCAGATAGACGGGCTTCAGAAGGACCAGCTCACACAGAGAGGGCTGTCTCAATCTGCGGTTCTATCTGTGGCTTTCTCCTCAACCATCTCTCTGTCTCCCGCCCCCGTGTCCCCCCCTCTGCCCCCCCCTCGCTCACGCTCCTCTCTCTCTCTCTCTCTCTCTCTCTCTCTCTCTCTCTCTCTCTCTCACTCTCAAATGAGCTTTATTGGAATCATAAAGGGAAGCATTTACAGTGTCGTGCATTCATCAGTAGGCTGCTGTAGCCTACATTGTCTTGTACCAGCTGTTATTTGAAAGCATCATACTTTCAAGGATCAGAAAACACAAATTTAAACTTAGAGAAGAATATTTTTTTGCCAGCTGTGTTCCCACTTTTGATTTGGTTGATGACATTTACTCATGCTTTGTATTCCCCTCATGGTCACTCAGTCTGTGATTTGAACAGAGTTATATTTCCTACGATTTGGATAATTTGGAGATAATATGCTGTTTCTTTTACTTCTTAAAACTTTTTTTGTTGTAAAATATCCACTCATGCCAAATTTAGAACAGACACATGATGGGTTATATCACAAATTTCTGAATCTCAATTTTTTTAATTTTTTTTTTATTTGCTGGAAACAAAAGCCATTATCTAGGTTTAATAGATACTTATAGATTACTTTTAGATACAACAGTGATTTTCAACCTCTGCTCCCCCTTTAAATAGGCCCTCCAATCTACTGCACAATCAGTTCGGGCAGAACCATATTTCTCTCAGGGGTCTCGGTCTCTCACGCCTAACACAGGCAAATGTTGTGTCACGTAACATGCACAGTACATAACAAGACTACAAATATCGTTGTATGGAATCATTTTGTAAAGAAAAACTCTTAGAATCAATCAAATTCTAATCAACATAACATATTCAACCAAAGATAGTCCCCCCCTCATTCATGGTTCAACCCATGACATCATTAATGATGTCAGCAAGTAGGAAGTGTTTGGTTGCCACCCTCTCATGGGAAAAGCATGGTGTATGGGTAAGTGAATAAAGCTAATACCTCAAGAAAGCTCCACATTAAATTAATCATAATAATATTACACCCTGAAGGTGGGTGTTTGCACTGTATGTATGGTCCATGTTTTTGATAATTTCACTATGAAAGGATCATCTGAATAAAGACTTTTTTGACTTTTTTTGTCTAAAGAGTGACTGGGATTATTTTCTTGTTTAAACAGAAAGCATAGTTTGACTTTTTTTAAAATGCAAAGAGGAGAAATGTTAGCCATAATAAGATTTGAGGTTCACAATTAGGTCAAGATCTGGTGATTTAAGGTTAAGATCAACAGATGTCTCCAGGGGTTTCTCCAAAATACATATGATTCAGGGGATCTGATGTTTCTGGTGTAGCATGTGCTGTTTGACTGCTGGAAGTGGCCATTGAACTTCAGTTGGATTTTGTGGGGATGTTTAGAGTTGAGGAGTTTTCCCCTACATTAGTTATTTTAGTTTCTCTTGATCTCTCCGTGATCATTTTGCCTGATCTTGGGTTGCGGGATGAAGGAGACTGCTGTGGCTTTATAAATCTTTGCATTGGGCCTCTCTGGGTTCAGATATTCTGAGATTATTTTAGAGCTTTTAGGAATCTGCACCATATTTGTAACTCAGTTATACACAGCCACTTACCCCTGCAAAGTGGACAGAGGGAGTGTACACCTTAATGTCCTCCTCCAGATCCGATTACTGCTGTAGGACAGATCAATGTTAGGTAAGCATGTGGAAACAGAAGGTGACTGTTGCACCTGTCCTGTCATGATGTATCTGATTGCATTGGTACTTACAGCTGTCAGACGGTACACATTACAAAAAGCATTCAGGCAAACTGTCATGTCCTTGAATTCTTTGAATGTCTCATTCAAACTCTGTCCTCAAAACCTGCTGGTATTCTAGTAGCTTTTTAGTGGTTGCATTATAATAAAACGAAGGCAATGCAATAGGTAGATGAGTGTCGAGTTTGTGCAGTTTCTGGATACCACTGATCTACTCTTGGTCAGGCTCTCTCAGGCTGCAGACATGTCTTCCTGTTCTAACTTCAGTTAGGAAGCTTGGGTGTCTTTGAACATACCAGCTAGTCTGCTACTTTGATGCTCTTGAGAATTTCTATAAACTGAAATTCTGCCCTAATTAGTGGCATCAAATGGGAGTTCATTAAATTTGTTCAAAATTTGGAGAGTTATGAAAGTTGCTTAACCTTTTCAATAACTGGATTAAACTGGATTAATTTAGGAAATTTATAAAGATTACTACACGCCGATAAATCATTATAAAGCATCACGAGAGAATCTTGTCTTATGTTTCTAGTAATGCCCTGTACTTTTGCTGTACAAAATGTGATGGCTAGACAAGAGCAGATTTTGATGATCTTGTTGATTATTTGTTCTTAATATGAGTGATTAAAAACCAAAAAGAATTACATGGAGTTTGCCTCTCAGAAAAAATCAGAAGTAAACAAAACTTGCTCCTCATTCTTTACAACTGATCCTGTGAGGACACATACAAGTCTTGCATGTTTCTCTGTTGTTGTGGTGACATGTCAAAATTAGGGCTTGGATAAAGCCCAGGTCAGTGTATGTTTGTACTCACTGTAAATACTTACTTCAAAGATGTACAGTGTTGCACAAATGCAATACACATAAACAATTGATAAAGAAGAGCTTAATAGCATAACAGTGATCTCAGTATTCCAATCTGGAGTGTGTTTGCATTATTGAAATGACATGATTGAAATTCTAGTCAGTCTTCATTGCAAAAAAATTAACTTCATGTTGTTTAAAGGGGAATTAGTGTAAAGCAAGTCATCTACGATATCTGCAAATGCATTTTACTAACACAATTGATGAAGCAACATTTTCACAATGAATAGCAAGTTATCTAATTAGAACCAAATTAACAAATGTAAAATAGGTGAAGTGAGATGCCTTATCACCTCTTCATTAATATTGTGCTTAAAAGCAAAGCGATACTCTGAGCAAACATAGTTCATGTCATATGGGGTTGCTATTAAGCATGACTCAGAAAGGATCACAGTGATTTTGCTTGAACTGCTGTGGAATTCTGTGGTGTGACCAAAGCTTTGTATTAGTAGCAATGTCATGTGATTAGACATGGATTATAGCTAATTTGTAATATATGACAAATGGACTGTCGGTTTACAGTCATGTAAATAGTCATTGCATGTTGCACACTAGTGCAAGTGTGTTTACAGTCTGAGGGGTTAATTCTGATGAAAGCATAGAGGGTACAGTGCTCACATGGTCAATAACTGATATGACCCATATCCACCAACACAATCATGTTCACGTCAGTGATAGCAAGTCAAGGGTCCTGTATCTGTGCAATGTCAAAGCCTTAATTGTGTGTGTGTGTGCATATTTGAGTTGGTGTGTTTTATGCTTTGATGCAAAAGGTGTGCATCTGTTGGCCCCTCTGTGTGTATTTATGCAGTTCTTGTCTTTTTGTGGACTTTAAATATTTTTTCCTTCATACATCAGGTTGAAGGAGAAACTCGAGGTCGAGATCTGGTTTTAAACTTCCCTTTTTAACTTCCTTCTTTCACTCCTTGATGAGAACTTCACAGGGACTACAGGACTGGGGTAATTATGGCCATGTCCAAACTAAAGTGGCTAAATCTTACTATGTTAAAATTATTTGGATTTCAAATTAATATTTTCAAGCATTTTCTGTCTCCCTCTGTCTCACAAGCCTTGGTTCTCATGCATGCTCATTATTCACAGAGGTCCCAGGGTTACACCCAAGAATGACACAGATTATTGAGAGAGAGAGGAATGAATGAAGGGGAATAAGTTAAGATATGAAGTAGTTGTCGAGACGGAAAAAGACGGTGGAAAGGAGGACAGAGAGCACAGAATGAGCATTTACATCTTAGAGGATAAGGAGAGGAGGTGAGATGGTGTTGAGAAAGGCAGTTTCCCTGTATACGTCAGAATAGTCAATAGCATACCCATTTAGATAGATAGATAGATAGATAGATAGATAGATAGATACTTTATTCATCCCCTAGGGGAAATTCATGATTTACTGTTGAAGATATCATAAACCGTGTCACCAAAACTTTACATGCCATAAAGATCAAGGGCAACATGTTGGTATCAAAGTATGAATGACACTTACTTACCCCATGTTCTTACTTCACCCAGTAGACAGAAGTAGAAAGAAAAGGATGTCTCCTGATATTTAACACACTGACTGGAAAATTCCAAAGGCTGAGGCAAAATTGATCAGACAAGGAGCACTTCAAAGAGAAGGCAGCTTCAATGAAAACAAGATTAGCAAAGGGATTACTTTCGATCTATACAAGACAGTACATAGACAAATGTATCAAATACTCTGCCGCTGAGTTACTAAGGACAAAATCCTTCAAAGATCTCCAAGAATTAATTTGATAATATTGTGGCTCTACATTTAAAAATGTTATCAATCAAGGCAAAGAGCTCCAGGGTGCAGTCTATGCACACATTCAGACTATAACCGGCTCCGGATGATGAGAAGCAATGAAACATTTCTGGCATTCTCATTTCGACTTTCAAGTTGAAATATTTTAATAGTTAGCATACATGGAGTGTGCAGTACGTGGCAAACAAAGAACCAAAGAAAGTGGCATTGTATGAAAAAATCAGTCTGTACAGAGAAGATGCCATGGCAAGAAATGTTTGGATTCACTCTTGAGGAAATATTTCCTCATCCAGAGTCATCAACAAAACTAAATTACTCACAACTCGACAGGC